CTATATATGTATGGGAAATGTGTCATTGTTAGCATATATATATATATATATATATATATATATATATATATATATATATATATATATATATATATATGAGTACTTAGCTAGGTTAATTAATAAAATGGTTAATGGTTGGCAGTACTAGCTAGCAATGACAGGTTATAAGTTATATTAATCGTATGTAAATTGCTGGGTTGCAATCAAACCACAAGTTTCTGGAGGGAATAAGCTGAACCTTGCCGACTTACGGAGTACCATGCATGAAAAGGAATTATATATATAATCATACCGATTGAATCAAGCTCTTGCAAGTGGATTTGCACAGGAGTTTCTTAGTACGGCCGGTTAATTAATTGTAGACTAAATACAATCTCTGCCTCTGTTGATTTCGATCTGTGGATATATGCACAGGAGTTCTTGGTACGGTCAGTTAATTAATGGCGATTTCAAATTACCATTATAACAGTAGTCTTAAATTTATACGGTGCCTGGCCACGAGTTTCAATATTCAAGCTATATATGTCTCCCTTGAAATGCAGAAATTTTGTAAAAAAAAATATTTCACAGGGATTAGTTAGCTAATTTCTAAACAGGTTATCCAACAAATTTTTGGTGATTTCTAAACAGGTGATCCAACAATTGTTCAAACCGATCATGACTTGCAGCGGAAGTGCGTGCTAACAACTGAAATACTCTAGGTAGATAGAGAAATTATATTTTGAAACAAATCTTAAATGTAAGAAAATTTTATATTTTGGACTGAAGGGGTATTGTTTTCTTTAATTTCCTTAGTTGCCAATCTAAATATTGAACATAATCAAACAGATAAATGAGAAAAAGTTTAATTTTCAGCTCTCTGATTTTCCTTAGTTTTCTGATTTTTTTATCAGGAAAACACACTCAGAAAGCTACCTAGTACATGATGAGACGAATCTTGAGGAGGTAATGTTCTATCCTATACTAGATAGCTATATTTTAGGACGGAGGGAGTAGTAGTTTTTTTTCCTCATAATTTCAAAAGAGTAGTACCGAAAAATAATAATTTCCATCTTGTGAAGTGGGCTCAAACTTGCAATGTGGTTTGCCGACAGAGGTATCGTGAGGCAGGTACGGTCCAACAAGAAAAATATTATAGTCAAAACTGTCTTTTCCATCGTTTTTTTTACTCCATCCTGTCAATTTACGGCTCCATTTCAGAGTCGATCATAACGGATGAGATCGAAATGACAACTTTGAGGAAGCAACATATTTTAATCCAGAGTGTAAAGGCTAACGATGGATCAAACTCAATTGTTTATTGCAGTAGAAAGGAAAATGCATGGCTAACATTCTTTCACAAAGGACCACAACCTTTTAAAATGATCTCGTACGTACTGGAAGTACTACTGCTAACAACATTAGTTGATGACAGTACTAATCTCATGTAATTAAGAGTTTTCCGACTTGACCTCGATCAGTTGGTCAATTATGTTAATGAAAAATAGGACGCCTATTAGTCTATTAATTTAGCTTGATTAAGGGGGTATTTGGAAGAGAGGGGCTAACATAAGTCCTTCAGAGGACTTATGTCCCCCTAATTCTTACACTCATCAGTGGATATGATATGAGTGAAACAAAAGGGAAGTTTGATTTTCTAAACCCTATCGTCTCTGTCCATTCACTAGCTAGACCAGCAGAAGCAGCTGGTGAGTGACCAAACACTTCACATCCTATCATAGCTCCCTACCCTAAACTTGACCTCTCAATCGCCGGTCAATCAGTGTATTTCTTCAGCTGAAGATGGTGTTTGAATTTTCCTGAAAATAAAGATGAAGATAAAAATTAAGTGTTTTACGTAAAATAAGATGATAATAACGTGTGATTAATTGAGTTTTAATTATTACAAACTTGAAAAATGGATTAATCTTATAGTCTATAACAACTTTCATATAGAAAGTTTTCGCACGAAACGCACCGTTTAGTAGTTTGAAAAGCGTACCACTTTTATCCAAAAATTTATCTAGTTTTTATTAGAGAGAAAAAAAAAGGGCCTAATTCTCATCAGCATTGTCTATTGGTGCAGACGTAGGAGTATTTAATTTTCACTCCATTTTTATCCATTGTCCACGACTCTTGTTGGGAGAAAAGCAAGAGAGAATCGGAGAGAAAAGTTGCACAGTACAGTAAAGGAGTGTTCCTTTTTGCTTACTCCTACCGGACTATCACGGGCAACGATATGATTTTTACAAATACTTTAATACAACATAGTACTATATGGCCATATTATAGTTTAATGTTTCTGACCTTTATTACCATTTTCCAATCGATATTGATATATTTTCGTCAATACAACAAAAGATAATATCTTGTTTTTCTACTACTCTAATGTGAACTCATGAACTCTTAAGTATACAATTTTTATGTTCAATGCACTAATCATCCCAATCTCATATTACTAATTATATATAAATATGTACCTTGCATTAGTAGTTGCTTAGTATACATCAATATTTAGAAAGTGCTTCTATAGAAGTTAAAATGCCTTTACTGTGAGGCAATTTTTGAAATGCTAAATAATACCTCTACAATATGAAATTAACAAAATATGCTAGACATACCTCTAAAGCGTCTTTAGGTAAAAGTATTCTAGGTGATTTTGCAAGTGCCTCTAAAATTCCAGAAATTCATATAACAGAGCACAAATTCTGCAACTTCCACATAAGAGATCGAGCACAAAAATTTCACATCACATTGCAGAGCACGAGGTGAGGATGGATTCATGCTCCTGAGAGAGGGTGGATGGCCGGCGCTAGATCTGCTCCAAGTGTCGCTGCCGCCCCCTTACCCATGCCGCTCCCGAGGCCCAGCAGCAGCGGATCCACTCTCCAGAAGCTCGTTGGCCCTGCCGCCCCTTCCCTTGCGCCGTTGACGCTGAGAGCCGCGTTTGTCTCCTTCCCCGCGCTGCTTCCGAGGCCCGGCACTAGCGGATCCGCCCTCCCAAGGCCTGCCCGCGCCGGATTCCCTCCTCGGTGCCCCCTCTCCCATGCCTCTACTGCCGCCCCCTTCCCCACGCAGCCACCCTTTCCCTCATCATTGCCATTGCCCAGCTCGACCCGCTTTGGCCAGCCAGATCCACTAGCAGGGAGGTTGGGTCGCCAGATCCGGAAGCCCTCTCTTATGCGAGGCGGTACTGGGCGGCGGTGGAGAGAGAAGGGACGCCGGAGGGAGGAGGGAGAAGGGTGGGAGAGAGGTGTAGAGAGAAGGGAGGCGGAAGGACCGAGGGAAGAGGGAGAGAGCCGAAGGGAGTTTGGTGGGTGTTGGATTTTAATTGCGTCAAAATTTATTTTGCAGTGGCGTCCTTTACCTACCGTTAGCGAAAACCCGATTTTTGCTGGTGGACACTTAAGAGGTATGCCTTGAAAATATTGGGTTTTATGGCGGATCTCATGTATGTCCGTTCGACGGTTTGTGACATAGAATTCTCCATTATATTTTTACAGGTGTTTGTTTTATTAGTCTATCAGAAAAAATAAAAGGACTACACTGTGAAAAATCTTTTTTATAGCAATGGGTCCCCCGCTCACGACCTCACTGAACTAGCACAACTTTTTTAATTTAATTATTTACATCCTACATACATCATGTAATTACATCTATTTATTGCATTACAATTACATTACATCATAGGTTTGTAGAGTTTTTTTTAACGTTAGATACTCCTGTATAGTACTCCTTTTTATTTTACTTTCGTATTTACGAGTTCTTAATACTACAGTCACGTATAAAGAGGAGAGAGAGGGTTGTGAGAACGTTTTACGTTCCCAAGAATCTATCTTTTCATCTTCACCCGGGCGGTGGTGAAAAAGAGGAGGGCAGCCAGTGAGAACAACAGAAAAAAACAGTGAGACGACAGATATATGGACCAGAACGGGAAGAGAGAACACAACAAACACCGAACTCAACCAGGCATTTGCTGCTGCTGCTGCTGCTGCATGTGTGAAACTGAAAGGAGTAAAACCCATGGTGAAAGCAAGGACAATAAATGACAATAAATTTGTCCTCTATTCCCTCCTTAAATGACAAGAGCAACATAAAAAATCAAAATTTCAGGATACTTCGGGTGTGTCTAGTTCACGTTAAAATTGAAAGTTTAGTTAAAATTAGAACGATGTGATGGAAAAGTTAGAAGTTTATGTGTGTATGAAAATTTTGATGTGATGAAAAAGATAAAAGTTTTTAGAAAAAGTTTGGAACTAAACAAGGCCGAATCTTCATCTTCAAACTTTAATTCCTCCTTTTTTATTATTTTTTTAAAATTATTAAATGATATATATATTCTAAAAAATTCTATAAAGATGTTATTTAAAAATTCAAATAAATATTTTTTTAAAATTTATAATTATTAATACTTTATTAATTATGTGCTAATGAGTTTTCTCGTTTCACGTGTATTGAAAATCTCTCTCCGGACTTCCGGGAAAAATTCAGCATAGCTAGGAATCCCAACATAAACGTTCAGATTTACAAGTAGAAGTTATAGTTTATTACGAGACATAGTAGATCAAGGATCCATGGACAGATATATATAATCACCCATGCATATCAACAGTAATGAAACTTTTTTACACAACAATCAACAGTAATCTAATGGACTGGTACCAGTATAATCCTACTACTAGTAGTAGCATAGCTCAATGAGTTCTTAATTAGTAATCAGATGGTCAATACACACCCAAACTATATAGTTTAGCTGCAAACTTCAGTCTTTTTCCATCACATCAACCTGTCATACACACACAACTTTTCAGTCGCATCATCTCCAATTTCAACCAAAATTCAAACTTTGGATCCAACTAAAAACAGCCTTAGTAGCTGGGATCAGCAGTTATCAGATTTGCAAGCTGGGAGTAATTAAGTAGAGTACGTGTACACAGTAGAAGTAGGGTATGATCCATATGATATTCCCTCCCTTCCTTCCCAGCTTGCAAATCTCTCGTCTTCTCGTCTCGTCTTTGGCTGTGATTTGACGCGAGAAAAAGGATAGCCACCCGCCATCGCCCACACGCTCGCGCACATACGCTACACCTCCCCTTCGCCGTAGTATACACCTCCACCTTTCCCTTCCATTAATACCTCCACCCCCCACTCCTCTCCCCCATCTCCCCTCCCTCTCGCCATTGGAGCTAGACAGCTCGAGCTCCAGGAGGAAGAAGAGAGAGAGCCTAGCTGCTAGGGTTTCCATCGGATTTGGTTTTTTATTTTCTTTTTGTTTCTTGTGTGTGTTTTGATGGATCAGAGCTTTGGGAATCTTGGAGGAGGAGGAGGAGCAGGGGGGAGCGGCAAGGCGGCGGCGTCGTCGTTCCTGCAGCTGCCGCTGTCCACGGCGGCGGCGGCCACCGCGTACTACGGCACGCCGCTCGCCTTGCACCAGGCGGCGGCCGCGGCTGGCCCGTCGCAGTACCACGGTCACGGTCACCCCCACCACGGCGGCGGCCACCACCACAGCAAGCACGGCGGCGCCGGTGGTGGGGAGATCTCGGCGGCGGAGGCCGAGTCCATCAAGGCCAAGATCATGGCGCACCCCCAGTACTCCGCCCTCCTCGCAGCCTACCTCGACTGCCAGAAAGTATATACGCTCGATTAATTCTTCTCCGATTTTGTTGAACAAAATACTCCGTAGTAATTATCTATCGATCATATATATCACTGCAATTTTGATCCATCCATCCATCCAGGTCGGAGCGCCGCCGGAGGTGCTGGAGAGGCTGACCGCCACGGCGGCAAAGCTGGACGCCCGCCCTCCCGGCCGCCACGACGCGCGCGACCCGGAGCTCGACCAGTTCATGGTTCGTTCGTCCCCCCCCAACTCCGGCGACCAGTTCATATATCGTTCATGATATATTGACCCGTCCGTACGACGTTGAATCGATCAATCACCGATGTTGGTTGCATTGATCGGGTTGATTAATCGGAATCGAATCAATCTTCGACGCAGGAGGCGTACTGCAACATGCTGGCCAAGTACAGGGAGGAGCTGACGCGGCCGATCGACGAGGCCATGGAGTTCCTCAAGAGGGTGGAGTCGCAGCTCGACACCATCGCCGGCGGCGCCCATGGCGGCGGCGCCGGCTCGGCGCGCCTCCTCCTCGCCGGTAAATCAACCAATCATCCATCCCCCTCCTCCTGCTCTCGCCTGCGGTTTTACTTCTATTTACACACATGCTCCTTCTGCTTCTTCTCTTCTGCTGCTGCTGCTGCTGCTGATGATGATGATCTCGTCGTCGGCGGCGATGGCGGCGGCGGCGGCGGCGGAGGCTTACCGCATTAGGAAATAGTTTGATCCGGATAATGGAGGTGGTTGCTTTGGATGATTGCCATTGTTAGTATAGCTACCCATCCAAAGCCCTGTGGATTAGTAATTTATTTATTGGGGTTAGTAACAAGACGCCTTTGCAGCAGCATGCACTAACAAAAGTAATTAAACTAACAATTAGTAGCGGTCTAGTCGAGTGATTAATCTAATCATGTTGGCAACCAGGGCACTGTGAGCAACCATGTCTCAAGCTTCTCCTCCTCTCGTTTCAGCAGCTTCACCTCCATTGTTTATTGCATCCATCCATCCATCCATGGCAGCAGCTAGCACAGCCTAGTTGCAAAACACAACACATGCTAGCCTTTCAACTCAACCATTTCTTTTTTCCCCTCTTTCTTTTGGCCATGAATTGTCTCTTCTCTCTTTCTTTTCTTACTGCTCTACTAGATGACAAGTGACTAGAAGCCTTGTCTTTAGGGTTCCAAGGCATGCAGGGCAGAGGAGAGAATCAGCCTGTCTATAGACTAATAGCTAGATTGATGGAGATTCTGAATGGTGATTAAGCCCAGTAAACAATGGTTTGAGGAAGAGTATTATAACTACATAGAGATGTATGGCAGTACAAGCTTGGTTAATCATCTCTCTGGTTGCTGCTGATTGGATAGCATGCATGCATCTACCCCGGATCAGTAGTATTATTCTTTTCTTGCTCTAGTGGAAGTAGAGCCATATGCATTGGAAATTGTTGTCATGGGGCTAGCTAGGTACCCAATGTTGCAGCAGCACTGTACGAACCGTCTTTCTTCTTCGCACGTAGCACTGCAGCTGTTCTTGTAATGGTTTTGGGATGCAGCACAGATTCATCTGGGCGTTCGTGTTTTCCGGGGGGTTGTACTGTCGATTGCTGCAGGGCAGGATAATCAATTAATATGATAGAGATCTGATGAACTGTTGATAGACTACTGTTGAATGCTTTTTATTTTCTGTGCATATATATATGTATAGAAGTATTGGAGAAGAGTGTCTGATTGGTAGATCAAACTAGGTCAGTTGCATTTGATTCATGATGGAAATTAAGACAGTTGTTGGAGCTTGCCAGCTGCTACTAGTAGTTTTCCTTTTTTTTTCTTGTGAAAGATTCAATTTGATTAAGCAGAGATGCAACTTTATTAGGCAATATTAGTGGAAGTCCCTTAAATGAAAAGTTACAGAACCATATATTATCAAAGGTTTTTATGAACAATATACAAATTTATTCTATGATCATTTTTTATATTACTAAATCTATGTTCGTCAGATATTGGGAAAGATTCACCCGGCACTTATGCTGCAAATGTGAACTCTTCTCTATTATCTAAAACAAATGGGAGAGATTACTAGTTTCTTATCTCTGTGATGCTCAAAACCTCACATGGTGATTCTGTATTCTCTCTATATAAGCCTAGCGCATCTATGCTGAATTTTCACAAATAAATCTCAACTATTGAAATTAGGCCACTTCAAAAGATCTTTTGTCAATGAGTTTGCTATATGTTGGTTTACTTCTATGATTGCTTTTTTGATAATGTATTTCATCTCATCCTCGCGCATGCATGCCCGGTTATTTATTGCCAGTTATGTGTTCCATTTGAGATTTAAAGAACCAGCTAATATATTATTATTGTTTTTCTTGTTTGTTATGGTATGACAACTGTCCTAGCAAATCCACATCCACACATCGATCTATATATCTTAACCAATCAGCAAGGCTCTATTTGTTTGTATAGATCAGCATGTTGTTTATATCGCATCATTGGTATTAAATTGTAACAGTTGCCTACTATACTGGTGAAACTTCTGCCTTTAAAACAAATGACACTAGCTTATACATTAAACAAATATGATTGTGCAAATGCATTTACTAATTTTTTTTATCTAATAAACTGTGCTTGTCACTTGTCAGTGTTTAACAAACTGTCCATTTTTCAGTCATTCATAAGTGTCAGTTTCCGCACCATTAGTTTTAGTATTATGGTTTCCTACTCTTGCCATGTATGCTTAATTAGATTCACTTTGCTGAAACTTGGAAAATTACCATTAATGTGTCCAAATCCATGGACTGGTTTTGATTTTATAATTTTATCAAAACTGTTTGAGAAATGTATTTTTCAAATGAATTATCATGTTTACTCATTCCACAAGTTAATTAACGTGTTTCTCCTCAAAATAAGCTAATGCGTTTTCTATAGGCGCCACAAATAAAAAGCAAAGGGTTCATTCACAAAATTTTGAAGGTTTTTTTTAGCAAATACCAAGTGCCATGTTATTAAAAGATTAAAATCTTGTCACTGTTAATGCATTAGTACATCAGGAATAATTCTTTTTCTGCGTAGAAGCACAAGGGCAACATTGGTGTATTTGTCATGCCATTTCCTTTTTTCATGTTATTTGTACCTCATCTTAAAAAAAAGGAGAAAGTATTACATAGGGGACTAATAGCTTATGTGAAAGACCACCGACTGGTTTATAATTAAACACTGGCTCATTTCTTTGAAGCTTTTTTTTTAAGGATCTGGTTTTCCCTCTAGTAGTTCTGAGCTGATGAAAAGTTTCTATAGCGGGTTACTGAGAGAATTACAGTCATTGTGCTACCATGAGAATAAATACAATAACAGAGTAACAACCATGAGAATATGTTCAAGAACTAATGGATTCTAAAATTTGAAAGGCGCTTAAAATGTTTTCTTGACACTATTCATGATGAGAATTAAACGGTTAATCAAGTAAGACATGGGACGATAACAACTACTACCTAATCCTGTAAATCTACAGAATCTCCATGCTTTTCAGTTGCTTTTTATGCACCCACAATATAGTTTTCAGTTGCATGTTATCATTGGAGGATGTAGAATACTCATGCATGCACAATTTTTTATAATATGGGGCCACATATATTATCTTTTATTTTCTTGTATCACATCCTGGGTCAGATCAACAACTGTCACTGTACAGTTTCCTATGTATAGATCAATTATTTTGATTGCCCATCTGAAATTAAGTTATGGTCATATGTATCTTTATTTATTTTGAAGTTGATCTCCGAATTATTCAATTACATAGGCCCAAGACAACGCTTTATGTGTGATATTTTTGTTTCTGGTTGTATGGTAGTAATTTTTGTTTTTTTGCTTTTATTTTATCCATTTCTTTGTTATATGCTATATTCTGTAGGACGCATGGTCAGCATGTGACCATTCTGTTTAGAGCAGAGAAATGCTCTGTCAATTCTTTATTTCTTTCCACTAAATGATTCTTTATCTACTGCCATAATATGTATTCCTTTGACCATTGGACCAAGTTTTTTAGGCCAAAGACCTAGCTTTTATATAAAGCAAAAGAACATAGGTGATAAGAGATAGGACCAAGTTTCAGTCAGTATCATTTTTTTCGTCGAAGCCTGGGACTCTACGTATACCTAGTTCAGTGGTTTCTACTATTTGGTTTATCAAACACTGTTTTAAAACCATAATCTGCACACCACAATCTGGTCAATATATCTTTCAACTGGCTGATTTGGCACAAATCAAACCTGACAAATTAATAAACCTAAAGCAGTGCTAGTTTTATCCTTGTATTGAATATCCTTGTCTTTTCACTTGCATAGTTTTTTTTACCGTTTTTTATAGTGTTTTCTTCTACGAAATCAGTAGGGCAGGATCCTTCTTGAAATCCATACTCTTTACTGTAGCTACTCTACCAGTAGTCAAATACACAGTGTCACCCTATTCTTGCATTCCAAAATGGATAGAGTTGTTTACCCACAGCTATGGGCCTTTCTGCGTCTGTTCCATTGCTGACCAACATGGTCTAGACTGAAGCTCATTCCAACAATACAATAGAAATCTGATGAACAAAATGTAGTATGATCTCTTACATTAACCACCTTTTGTCTGCAGATGGTAAATCTGAATGTGTTGGTTCTTCTGAGGATGACATGGACCCAAGTGGCCGCGAAAACGAGCCGCCTGAGATCGACCCGCGCGCTGAGGATAAGGAGCTCAAGTTTCAGCTTCTGAAGAAGTACAGTGGCTACTTGAGCAGCCTAAGGCAAGAATTTTCCAAGAAAAAGAAGAAAGGAAAGCTGCCTAAGGAGGCCAGGCAGAAGCTGCTTCACTGGTGGGAGCTGCACTACAAGTGGCCTTACCCCTCAGTAAGATTACACATACAAAATTACCTGATAATATATAGTAATTGCCACAATTACCTAATGCATACATAGTTCTACAAACATCTTAGTTCAGATCAGATGCATCATCACATTGTTACTAACTTTGCACCAATGGGATGAGTAGGAGACGGAGAAGATTGCGCTTGCGGAATCGACAGGACTAGATCAGAAGCAGATCAACAACTGGTTCATCAACCAGAGGAAACGGCACTGGAAGCCATCGGAGGACATGCCGTTCGTCATGATGGAAGGTTTTCACCCACAGAATGCTGCTGCATTGTACATGGATGGCCCGTTCATGGCAGATGGAATGTACCGCCTCGGTTCGTGAACCTCGATCTCGATCATCGGCGTGTTTGATGAGAGATCCAATGCCAAGATAAATTGATCATGGAATGTATTCAGCATGCGTTGCAATGCATGGACATTGTTATGGAATTTTTGGTTTATTTACCTTTCACCGTGGATTGACAAGGTCTCGATCATGTTAGTGTTGATGGCTTATAGTTCTCCAGTAATGTTGTTGTTTTTCCTTTCGATGGCTTGTAAAAGTTTAGGTGTATCGGAATTTCGATCAACTTGCTCGTACGCTGGTAATTAATTTGGTGATGGTCTATATGTTGTATGGTTGTGCGTTTCAGATTGGTGTTCAAAGTTGCCTATCTGAAACAATTATATATATTTATATTGCTTCTCATTTTAGACGGATGGTTCGAATTAAAATCGAAATTACTTGTGAAATTGCTGGACCTGGATGTTCTACTTCCTAGAGCTGTGAATTTTATAGTTTCTGGATTTGGTAATCAGGCATGCTTGGTGAAGCATTTAGAAATTATGTATACATTTCCAGATGATAATTAAGAAAAAAAATTGTTCCTCTTTACCATTAATTATTATATGCCGTGCAATTTATCACGTATGCAAGTTAGTTACAACGGTTTTGTACTGCATTGGATGCAAAATAAAATGATTGAAGCCATTATTTTATTTCTGACTCAATCTGATTATTGTTCATGCATGATCAGGTAGCTTGGATAGATGGAGTTGGTACATGACTGACAAACTACCCTATTTGCCTCCCCTATATATGGAACATCAGCTTAGTTCAGTCTTAATGATTTTCTCGAGAGACAAATTAATTCAGCTGTCTAGCCAAAAATGTTATAGCTAGAAACTAATCAAGTTCAAGAGTGCTTGAGCTAACCTTTGTATAAACAGAAAAAAAAAGGATTCTTTTATATTTCAATCGCTAGTTCCAACGTGTTAGCTCCAAAATCAGTTTTTCCCAATAGTACACCTCCTAAATTTTAGGCATGCATTCAGGCATCATTCCTGTTCTCCAACAGCGTCCCCTATGCATGATATGTGCTATAGTAATTTCCCAAATAATCATCAAGTTCTATGTATTCTGGTTGAATCAATCATCAGATATCTGTCCAAAAATGCCAGATTTGTCGTCATTTTGTGGTAAGCAGCAGCACTGGCACTTACTCTTCAGACTTCAGTGTTCAGTCAGATTGCACAAATCACTCAACAGTAGTAGGATCATGGTGACCATGTACAAGATTCCCTATGAGCAGTTTTCATTATCATATATCAGAGCCGCATGCACCAGGAATGTTTGCATCTGGAACAGCTATCCTTGACCTCTTGCAATATAATTGTGCCATCTACTGCTATCTCACACACAGCCTCACAGAGCCACATACTACAAAGTACTAATATGCATGCAGTGATCATCCATCAGCTGCATTATTGCAGTGTTCGAATCATATATTCCACTGTTTGCATCAGTGATGACCTAACCAACTCGTCAGTCATCATCGCTTTCAGTGCTGAAATAACTAGCATGTTGGTTGCAGCTTGTTCATCTTTATGAACTGTACTAGTACTTCTACTGCTACTATTAAAGTGTACTCCTACATTTGGTTAACACTGTTTCACCTGAAAACAGTAGTGATAGTATCCTGTGACAGTAACACAGAAGCATCTCATCTGTTGTTCATTTCAGAGGAAACTAGTACTACTACTACTAGTAGTAGAAGAGAAACACTGACAGGCATGTTGCAACTTTCCTTGGATCAAGAGAGGTTTGATGCCAAAGTACACAGGAAAATGTTACTAGTAACATTCCAATTACATGATGTAACTAAAAGAAGATTGTTCTTGATTCCCTTTCACTGCTTGAAAGGCTACTCTGTTCCCCCCAACAACTGATGGCTGGATGAACTGCATCAGACAACAGTTACATCCTATCAAGAAAACTACTGTCAGTTGGAGGCATAGTGTTGTCATGCGAAGAAATTAACCATTTCATTCGATTTGTGATTAATTTAGTCGCCGCTGGTTTCCTTAACACACACATCACTAGACACTGACTCTGACCAAGTTGCATCCATCTGCGTGCGACCTGCAACCTGCAAACATGAAACATCATGCTACATATTCATCGAGACAGTAATGCTCAAAAATGGAGAGACGAGTTGAAGGATCAGTCGCATCGAACCAACAGAAATACACACACAAATTAATATCTGTACACATAAATTTCAGGGACTGGAGCTGTCAAAGTTCATCTGCCATCGGTTGTGGCTACAGGGCAATGCCGACTGAAAACTAATTTAGGGCCTTTTTAATTCGGCGAACGAATATTTTTGACGTGTTCACATCGGATATACGGAGACATATTTAAAGTATTGAACGTGGACTAATAACAAAATAAATTACAGATTCCGCCTGAAAACTACGAAATGAATTTATTAAGCCTAATTAATCCGTTATTAGCAAATGTTTACGGTAGCATCACATTATCAAATCATGGCGCAATTAGGATTAAAAGATTCGTCTCGCAATTTACATGCAATCCGTGTAATTATTTTTTTATCTATATTTAATACTCCATGGTGAAAAATTTTTTTGTTTAGAAACTAAACAGGGCCTTATTTTTTTCTTTCTTTCCATTAATTGCTCCCACAATCTGAGCACGAATATTTTCGTTATATTATGTCATGTCAATCACACAACTTGATTCATATCAACAGTGCTTGCACTGCTTATGAACAGTGCTGACAGTGACATGGAAACAGTACCGTGGGATCATTTGTGGAGATCTCACGGTGTTCTTTTTAGATTATGCCTCATATATTATGCGCCTATTATGTGATTCGTGTCACCCTTTCAAAAAAGTACGATCTCTCTGAAAACTCACTAGGACATCAGTATTGCTCAGATAATTTATTTTAAGCTATTTTTCAGATTTATAATATATAAAATCTGCCAATCACCCGTAAAAAAAAAGTCATTGATCTAAGCCAGAACTAATAAGCAGCAGGCAGCACTCTACTGGTTCCTGAATTTATCTGCTTTTCATAAACTGTAATAATCTGAAAGAATTAACCAACACAGTTTACATCACTGAAACACTGCATCTTGTCACTGAAGGTATTCATCCTCGTGTCCTTATGGGCCGTAATGTTATTGCCATGCCTTGGCCCTTGTGGCTTGCTCATGGGCCACATAATCAGGGACCATTTGGGCTGGCGAAATAGGCTCAAAATGGGCCAAGATATGTTAATTTCTTTGGGCTGATCTCATCAGGCCCAATTCAATTTCAGCCTATGTTAGGTGGTGCCAATCCAATAACATTGGTATGATTAGAATGCTCAATCAACAAGAATCTGTCTCAACTATTTCTACTTGTAAATGGAAACATATAATCACAGCCGAGGAAAACTAGAGTTGATTTCAATTTGATTGTAACTAATAACATAGCATCCATTTTGCAATAGTTAAAAAAAATCAAACCTGCCAATTACAGCATGAATTTGCAATAACATCAAACACTAGCAGTGTCATCGTCTACCTCGGGTGAGGTTTCAATGCTCACCACCGACGACAAAGACAGACATGGCAAGACATACGAGTCGAAGCCTTGGCCCTGCATGAGAGCCACCATGTTGAACTTCAGCTCCGACGGTGCCAACTCTGGCAGCGGCGCGTCGCCGTCGAGGTATCTCTGGACTTGACTCATGGTAGGCCTTTCCATGGCGATTGGGTGAGAACACAATAGACCTAGCTTCAGCACTAGACATGCCTCATCAACATTGTAGTTGCCCTGCAATCTTTTGTCTACTGTCTCAGGCAGTAATCCTTTCTGCCAGTGCTCAAGGACCCAATCAACCAGCATTGGGGGTTGATTATCTTGTTGATTGTTGTTGAGTGGCCTTTGTCCACAAGTGACTTCGAGAAGGAATACGCCAAAGGCAAATATGTCTGTGGCAGGAGATGCCTTGCCTGTGAACACTAGCTCTGGGGCTAGGTACCCCATTGTGCCTACCAGGTGCGTAGTTTGTGGGTCGGTTCCGTGGTCATATAATCTTGAGAGGCCAAAGTCACCTAATCGTGCATTCATATCTTTATCAAGAAGCACGTTGCTTGCCTTGATATCTCGGTGGATTACAATCTTCCCCCATTTCTCATGGAGGTAGAGTAGTCCTGACGTGACACCTTTGACAATGTTAAATCTCTGTGCCCAATCCAATGTTGGCTCGGTCAAATCACAATACAAATAGTTGTCAAGGCTACCGTTTGACATATAGTCATAGACCAGAAGGAGTTCACCTTTCCTCCTACAATAACCGAGCAACTGCACAAGGTTTCGGTGTCGAAGTTGACCGATACTGACAATCTCAGCAACAAACTCCTTCATACCTTGGCTCGACTCATGCGAAACACACTTCACGGCAACCACTCGTTTAGACACCGGAAGCACTCCCTTATACACCTTCCCAAATCCTCCGACACCAAGTAAGTTCTTATCCTTAAATCCTTCAGTGGCATCATACAGAACCTTGTATGAGAAACGATGCGGACCAAACTCAACCTCCCAATCTTCTTGAATCTCTGTGTACTTGAGTCGCCTCCGTACACAGAGAACAAGGAGAACACCAACAAGGAAAATCAATACAGCGGTTGCCACCGGTGATATGATTACCAAGATCCTAGAAGAATGGGACTTCTTGCTGCCAAGATTTGGCAGCTTGGGCAACCTGGAGATATCAATAGCTTGAGCAGGGCCATTCATCCTAAAGCTCCATCCAAGAACACAGTGTTTTGTGTTGACTACACCTCCAGTTGCAGCTGAGAAACCGATGTAGGCTGAATCTGCAACCACCGTTGAGAGGTCGTAGGTGACAGACAGTAGAGGTCTCTTGGGCTTGGCCAATCTGGCAGGAGCCAAGGTGACACTAATCTTCTTGGCATCACCATCATAATCAAACCAAACTTGCATTGCCTCATGGATGACAAGAGTAAGGTTCCTGAAGATGCCACTCCTGTCTTCATAGAAACCAGCATAGTGTGCATCCAAGGACTTCATGCTGTTGACATTGATCCCTACATGGTTGTCATCCATGTCTTGGAACTCCTTGTTTTGGAAGGTGTCGAGCTCGACGGCGAACAAATCGTTGCTTCTATTGCCATTGTTTTGGTTGTTGAGGAGGCCCAAATATTGTGCAGGCAATGATGCATCAGAGAAGTTCTTGCTTGGTGCTATGAAGAAGGCCATGCCATCGTTGCTCCGATTGGCATATTTTTGGAGGATGCTGAACGCAAATGAAACCGAGAAAGATTGTACCATGTCGTTTGGCGACTTGCGAAAGCGCAACGGAGTTGGGTAGAACGCATGGCCTTCGATATTATTCGCGCCATTGGTGAGCTCAAGGAGCCCATCTTCGGTGATGGTGGCGGCACCATCAAGGACGAGGTTGCTGCCGGTGAAGCCGGAGAAGACAAACTGGTGCTCACTAGAAGTGACAAAGGATACAAGGCAAAGGAAGAGAAGAAAGGTGTATTTCATGGCAGGTGATGGAATGGGCTGTGAATTGAATTGCAGCAAATCAACAATGAACAATTAGAACTGCAGGGCAGCAATGTCTAGTTAGCTATTGTAATAGTTAGTGCAGAGAAAGTGACATTGTGAGCTACTGTATATAGTTTTGAGTTTTCTCCAGCATGCATTACAGACTTGAATTATTGAAACTTCCTCTCCCAAAAAGGTCAAAGTATAGTCTGGTAGCATCTAGCTTGGTCAAATTATATTTCGTGCACCTAACGAACATAATTAATTGCCACACGAAACTTCGTAGGAAAATTCCTTGTATGAAACATGTTGACGCCATGTTTGTACACATTCAAACTGGTTTACAGACATGTATATTAATACGTTCGTATTTTTTTTTGGAAGTAACTTGTTTTTATTTCTTCTGTACCTAGCAGCTTGTCGGCAACAAATCTTCAATGCTTTATATGAGAGATTTTATGGTCCTCTTAAGTACCATGGCTATAGGTACTAAAATTATACACTAAAATTTTAATACCTCGAGATCGATAACCTAGTTTCTGTAGGTATCAAGTTTTGTATAAAATAATATGATACCTTTCGGTATTTTTTTAAGGATGTTATAATTACCCATATAATATAGTTATATGAAAGATTTTTAATGAAAAATATGCTAATATCATTCTTACATATCAAATCTTAATATAGGTCTATATTTTGGTAATGTAAGATTTCAATATTTCACTACGTATATCTAAAAGGAAAAGTACTAATTACCCCCCCTCCTGACTATCGCAGTCGACCAAATTACCCTCCCTAAACCCAAAAACCAGACATAGTTAACCCTAGACTTTTAATACCGGACAAATTACCCCCATCGACCCAATCCAGAACAGTTTTATCCTACGTGGTATTCCAATCACCATTTTGTTTATAAAAAAAATGTGGGACCCACATGTCATACTCCTCTTCCTCTCTCTCTTCTCTCTCTCACTCTCTCTCTCTCACGGGTTGGCGGTAGGCGGTGGGCGGCGCTGCGGGACGCGGAGGCGGCGGGTGACAAGGCACCAGCGGCGGCACGGGAGGCGGCGGCGACGGCGGGTGATGCGGGACGCAGAGGCGACAACGGCGGTCACGACGAGTAGCCGCCCCCTCGACGCGGGGACGGACGGAGGCGGAGGCGGCACACACGGTGCCGCGGAGACCCTCCTGCGCCGGAGGGAGTTCGCCGAAGTTCTCTCCTGCTCCCTCACGAAGTTCGCCGCTCCCTCCTCTGTGTCCCGCCCCCATCACCGCTGCCTCCGCGTGAGAGAGAGGAAGAGTGAGTGAGTGAGAGAGAGAATGTGTGATCGATAGAGCAAGAGGAGTATGACATGTAGGTCTCACATTAAAGGAAAAAGTACGAATTACCCCCCCGAACTATCGCGGTCGTCCGAATTACCCTCCTGAACCACAAAACCGGACATTCTTCACCCCCAACTATACAAATCAGACGAATTACCCCCCTCGAACCAATTCAGAGCGGTTTTGAACAACGTGGCAATCCGGTCAGCGTTTTTTTAATTAAAAAATTGTGGGACCCGCATGCCATCCTCTTCTCTTCTTCCTCTCTCTCTCTATTCTCTCTCTCTCTCTCTCGCTTTTTCTCTCTCGCGGCTCACGGGGACGGCGCGGGAGCGGCGAGGACGGCGACGGCGGAGGTAGCGGCGGCGGCGGCGAGGCGAGGCGGCGGCCGAGGCAGCGAGCGCGGGGAGGCGAGCGGCGGGGCTGGGCGGCGGAGGAGGCGAGCGGCGGCGGGAGCTCGCGCTGCTCGCGGAGGAGGCGAGGCGGCGGCGAGGCGAGGCGGCTGGCGAGCCTGGTCGAGCTGCACCCCCTCCGTGGCGGACCCACCGGCTGCGACGCCGACCGCCGCGCCTCTCCCCTCCCCATCTTTCGTGGGCCGCCGCCTCGCCTCGCCGCCGCCGCACCCTGCCGCTGCTCGCCTCTTCCGCCGCCGCCGCCTCGCCTCCTCCGCGAGCAGCGCGAGCTCCCGCCGCCGCTCGCCTCCCCGTGCTCGCTGCCTCCCCCGCCGCCTCTGCCTCCGCCGCCGCCTCGCCTCGCCGCCGCCGCCGCCTCGCACTCTCCGCCGCCGCTGCCTCCGTCGTCGCCGTCGTCGCCGTCCCCGCGCCATCCACCGCGAGAGAGAAAAGCGAGAGAGAGAGAGGGGAAGAAGAGAAGAGTATGGCATGCGGGTCCCACATTTTTTTAATTAAAAAACGCTGACTGGATTGCCACGTGTGCGCCACGTTGGATAAAACCGCTCTAAATTGATTCGAGGGGGGTAATTCGTCCGGTTTACATAGTTGGGGGTGAAAAATGTCCAGTTTTGTGGTTCAGGGGATAATTCGGACGACCGCGATAGTTCGGGGGGGTAATTCGTACTTTTTCCAAAATAAAATGCTAACTGAACTGTCACGTGTACGCCACGTAGGACAAAACCAACGATGTCTGGTTTTCAGGTTTATAGGGGTAATTCGGTCGACCGCGATAGTTCGGGGGGGTTATTCGTACTTTTTCCTATCTAAAATGACATCTATTGATTTATAAACGACCAGGTAATGTCCAGACATTTTTCATAGATCCAAGACATATGGGAGGATATATATGCTCCTTGTAGACTTTCACAGGCGCCAGACAGATCGACAGGTGACAGCCTAGAGTCGTTGGAAGGAACTTGATTGCTTCAAGCAATTGTTAGCATTATTATTTCTCCATGACCAGATTCCACATTAATTATCTAGTGGTTAAGTACAAACTAGTCCTCTTTTTGCCCAATTAAATAGCTAGTTTACCTACCAAAAGTTCAAAAATTAAGTGCCGGACGGTGCATATATTATATCAAGCTGAGTTATACTAACCCATTTTTTCTTAAAAGTTACACTTTGGGGGTTAAATTTAAGTTAACCCTTTTGACGAAATGCGTGAGGACGAGTGTAAAAAGGTGATATATATATGCATGATTAGCTGCCCAAGCAATGCAACGTGGGGAGTACTTTAGCCGTACATTGAGATGATTTTGGGTCTTTAAGTCGTAAGGGTTTTTTTTTTATAAGATCGCCTACAAGAGTCAAGAGTGCACTAAAAAAAGTGCTAATATCTTTTGGCCCTTTTGGCCAGCAAAGCAAGGCTTATAATATACAGTACCTATGTGTAAATCATGTTAAATTAACAATCTTGTACAGTATTAAAGAATGAGGTGTATATTACACTTAGTTTCACCGAAATGGCCAGATGGATAAAAGACCACTACTTTTCTTTAAACAAAATAGGGAGTATCTAAAAAAACAGTGCCAAATTTTTTGAGTGCTAAACTTTCATATGTAACTATAGTACACTATAACTGTATTGTAACTACACCGTAACTATGGTATAATAAAACTTGTATTCAACTATAGTTTAGTTGGATAGCACCGGGATCTTACGTGTGACATGTGTGAAATTTTTTTCCTTCATGCACAAATCTCGAGGCGATCAGATGGTCACAAACCTGAAAGTTTTGTAAGATCAAAGTATGTTTTGATTCTTATTCTGTGATGAACAATTGGCATATGTGATTATTGGTTTTGATATTTGGAGATTATCGTCGAAGTGGTTTTGGAGATAATCAATTTTCAGGAGATGAATAGGGTTTACTGGTTTGTCGGGACCGGTCAGACCGGGCGGAGGTTGCCGGTCAGACCGGCGCTATGTGTGCGGTCAGACCGGCCAGCCCGCGGTCTGACCAACTGATACTGAGTCGGTTTCGGTTTCAGGTTGTTTCTTTGGATATCCGTGATTGTTTCATGGTTATGGCTTCTAGATGGATACTATACGTATGTAATACTGTTGTTTGCTACTAATGAGTCAAGTTGGGGATAGCTTGGTCTTGGAATATGGTTTCTTTGTTTGTTTCATGTGTAGGTGACTCGATGCCTCTGGAGAGTATTTGCGGTGATGGACCGGGAGTCGGCATGGTGGTAAGACGATGTCCGTGGTGGTCAGATATCATGCGGGATACTAAGGCTAGAGTTGATGCACGTGGTTGATGGAGATTCCATATGGCATACGATGGAGGTATTGTGTGTGTATGGGATGCGGAGTCGAATTTGGAAAGAGTCCAAATTTGGTACGATTGGTTATGTAAAGTTTCTTTCTTATACTAGAGGGTTTCCTAAGGTGTTTAGGACTCTTAGTATGAGTTTGGTTCATGGCTTTAGGCTGCCTACCTCATGTATAAATAGAGGAGGAGCGTGAGGCTTCCCTGTATCGCTTTTGAGAGCAATTGAGTTGCTAGTTTAGTTAGGGTTTCGAGTTTAGTCGAGATTTTTGTAAGGAGTGTTGTTGGTGCACTTTGTAAATACAGAGAGAAGCAATAAAGTTGTCATCTACTTTGAGAGTTTTTCGATTTGTGTTTCACCGGGTTTCGACGGTCTAACTGGCATCTCACCGGCGGTCAGACCGGCGACCTACCGGCGGTCAGACCGACTAAGGCGAGGCGGTCAGACCGGCGGTGGCGGCAACAGCGACAGGAGCTGGCGATTAATCTCGGCGATTCGACCGGTGTTACAACCTCGGTCAGACAGACGATATCCAGGCGGTCAGACCGGTGCTACTACTTCGGTCAGACCGCGATCCATCGATTTCGAGGGTAACTTTTATTTCCGCTAAAAGTTTTTGGTTTTAGGTATCTCAACCATTCACCCCCCTCTGGTTAGTTTAGTTTTTGTGATTCGATCGTACAAGTTTCGGGGGGAAAATAATTGCAAAAGTTTTCTAGCAATTTCGAAAAAGTAGTTCCGCAAGCACTTCCCTTTACTACATAGTCGGCTAGCCTTTTGGGCGGCTTCTGATAAATTTGACCTAGGGGTCACAGTTGCTAGTGTAAATCCTCCAGCCACCGAAATTATGGTTCATTTTCCATAAGCCTTTAATTACAGGTAGCACATATAACCGCCTATAAAAAATATTTTTAGACGTCTAAAAAACTCGGCGCGAGAATAGATTGCCAAGCCATATAATAATGCTCACTGATGCAGGAATTTGATATTTTGCGACAGAGGGGTGGTCTGATCACTTCCATGAAGTCAGTGAGGCAGTCAATGTTTTTTATCTCCTTTTTTTTTTTAATTTCCATCTAACCCTTGACTCTCAAATCTTGTCTCCTTCAGACCTCCTGGAAGCATGCATGCTAGCTAGCTGATTATCATGATGATTGAAAGAATTTTCCAACTACAACGATGAATCTCTTATCGACGATATTCAGTTGCAATTAATTTTATTTGACTGTTACAGTATGTACAGGTTTGGGCCCCTTTGAATCGCAGGAATGGAAAAAACAGAGGAATAGGAAAAACATAGGATTCTGACAGGAATGCAGGTGTAAATCAGAGGATTGGAAAATACAGGAAAAACATAGGAATGACCGTTTGATTGGACCACAGGAAAAACGCAGGAATCGAATGAGAGAGATAGACTCAAAGGAATTTTTCCAAGAGGTTGGACCTCTTGCTAACTTTCCTTCAAAATCTCTATAGGATTAGACATTCCATAGGAATTTTGAAGGATAGTATAGAATTCAATCCTTTGTTTCAAAGTCTTTCATAGGATTTTTTTTCAAAGGATTAAAATCCTTTAAATTTTCTACATTTTTCCTACAAATCAAAGGGGCCCAATGTAAACAACTCCTTAGAATAAAGGTTTGTTCGATGAAGTATGATTAGTGGTTTAGATTGAGAGGGACCTTAGGATGGAAGTGGTTGGAAAAAAATTCAAAGCTTGTGGCTTGAAACGGCCTAGTCATAATGAGCTAAGCTAATAAGTTGGGTTTTTAATTAGCTGGTTAATTTAACGAGCCAACTCGCGAATTACTCATTTTTAGTTCACTAGTATAAAAGGTCATCGTATGTACTATTCGTATTTAGTGTTATTATTACGTTAACATGTGATGAATGGATAAGTATTAAAATTATAAAGATGATATTATTGGTATTTAGTGACTTGTTAACGAGCCAACTCACGAGCTGAGACAAGTTGATTCGTTGTCCACCTCTAGATCTGACGACGTATGCTTGAATCTAGCTAGTCAAACACAAACAGTAGGATATCCTAGCTAGAATTTACTTAAAACAAAACCTGCAAAAGAAATAACAAAATATATGACCATTAAATATACTGGTTTGCGCAAACGTGCATACTTTATTCCTCTAAAATTGATACGTACATATATAAATCAACAGAAAAAATAACTCAACAATTAGTCTCTGAGAGCGGATATATATTATGGCATTAAAAGAAATTAATTAGTAGTTGTCACACTAGTGATGAATATGACATGGCGTACAGGTTGGAGACTCTCTCTCCTGCATCAAGTGAAACAAGCCAAATCCTGGGTTTGAAATAGTTTCTGGTAGTGGCATGTCACCATTGAGATACTGCGTCACTTGTCTCATATTCGGTCTTGAGTGTTCAGATGGATGTGAGCATAGCAATCCTAATTTTAGCACTAAACCTGCTTCAGCATTATCATAGTCAGCTTGGAGGTTGGCATCAACTGCATCAACAACTGATCCTTTTTTCCAACATTCTAGCACCCAACCAACCAACGTTTGTTGGATGCCTTGTGCATTTTGCTTCATAGGTTTCTGCCCACATGTAATCTCTAGGGCTAATATGCCGAAGGAAAATACGTCGGCGAGTGGAGTCACCTTGCCGGTCAATGCTATTTCTGGAGCTAAGTACCCTATGGTGCCAACAACGTGTGTAGTTTGTGGATTGGCTCCATGATCGTGCAACCTTGAGAGGCCAAAGTCACCTATCTTTGCATTCATCTTGTTGTCGAGGAGTATGTTGCTTGGCTTCACATCTCGATGAATCACTACTTTCTCCCATTCTTCATGGAGGTAAAGCAGCCCAGACGCGATTCCTTTGATGATGTGAAACCTTTGACCCCAATCCAAAGTGCACCTACCATCTTGACCATACAAGTACTTTTCCAAGCTTCCATTTGACATATACTCGTACACTAAAATCAATTCACCTTTACGTCGGGAATAACCGAGGAGGTGAACAAGATTGCGGTGGTCAAGGCAGCCTATGCTAACAATCTCCGCTACAAACTGTTTCATGCTTTCCTTCGAATTTTGTGGTATCTTTTTCACTGCGATCTCTTGTTTGGACCCTAGAAGCATCCCCTTGTATACCCTCCCAGCACCTCCTGTGCCTAGCAAATTCTTGTTCTGGAACCCTTCCGTGGCATGGAACAAATCCTTATATGCGAACCGGTGTGGCCCAAAATCGATCTCCCAATCTTCTCGCAACTCAGTGTACCTCATACGCCTTCGCACAAGGAGAAAAACAGTAGCACCCACAGCCACGAGGAATGCTGCGGTTGCCACTGGCAATATGATTTGCAACAGATTGGATGGATCAGACTTAGGACCAACACGAGGTAGCTTTGGCAGCTTGGCAATGTCGATGGCCAGCGCAGTTCCTCCATTCATGCTGAAGCTCCAGCCAAGAAGGTAGTGTCGTGCACTAGTTGCGCCTGTCGAGGAAGAGAAGCCGATGTATGAACGCTCCATGAGCAATCCTGAGAGGTTGTAGGTCGCAGACAACAATGGCCTCACAGGTTTGGCCATGGCAAGAGGAGCCATGGTCACGTTGATCCGAGTAGCTTCTCTGTCATAATCAACCCACACTTGTATAGCCTCCATGGATGCAAGGGTCAGGTTTTTGAACCTTCCACTCTCTTCATAGTATCCAGCAGGGTAGGATTGCAAAGAGGTGAGATTATTGATATCGATCCCAACATGATTATCATTCATGTCCCCAAACTCTGTGTTCTTAACGGTGTCGAGCTCAATTGCAAAGATGTGGCCTCTATCATTGCCATTGGTCTCACTATTGAAGAGCCCAAAGTATTGTGCCGCGATAGCATCTGAGAAATTCTTGCTTGGTGCAATGACGAAGGTGATGCCATGGCCACTGTTCAGGTCAGAGAAGGTAGGGACGATGCCGAACACGAAGGAGACAGAGAAAGATTGCACCGTGCCATTAGGAGTCTCGCGGAAGTGCAGAGGAGACGGGTAGAAAGCATGGCCTTTCACCCGGATTCCATCGTTGGTGAGCTCGACGAGGCCATCAGGAGTCACCATGGCGACGCCGTCAAGGGAGAGGTTATTAGCACTAGTGAAGCCATTGTAGACGAACTGGTGGTTGTCGTCACCGTTGGTGATGGATGCTAGGTTAAGGCCAAGGAAGAAGAAGAGGATCAGTGGCAGAAAGGACATGGTGGTTTGATAGACGTGGTAATGATCTCTATTAGCTCATGATAATCACCAAAGCGTACATGTACGGTACATATAATGAGCAGCTACCTCGAAACTGTGCTCAATATTAGTAGGAACATGAGTGAGTAATTTAATTAATCTATAGGTGAGCTGTCCACATCGGTAAGGAAATTGCCAAGTACTCCTAGTAGCCACTAGTACCCCAGAAAGAATTGAACAACTCCTTGGAATTCAAAAGGAGACAGTGGTAATGTCATCCCAACATTATCAGAAGCTCAACTAATTAACAAGGATACATAGGCTGTGTTTAGTTCAGCGTAAAGTTTGGATTTGGTTAAAATTGGAGATGATGTGACTGAAAAGTTGTGTGTGTATGACAGGTTGATGCGATGGAAAATGACTAAAGTTTAGATCCAAACTTTGGATCTAAACACACAGATAATTGAAAATATGCGTTTGCATTGTTTTCTCTATCTTGAAAGTAGTAGGAAGATTCCTATAAATTAGAACTTCCAAACATATATTGTATGTGCGTTACAACGGTACTTTAATGTGAACTTGTGTGCGTACATGTGTACTTCCTCCGTAAAAAAAAAGACCCAATCTTAAGGATATATCCCGAGAATTGAATTTTTTCGGGACAAACTAGTAGTGTGTATCAGCGGTTATATATTAATTTTTCGTGTAATTGAAGAAAGTGATGGATATTAATAACTATGTCTACGTGCTCTGTCATAGTATAAACAACGTTCCAACTTTTTGACTAGTTTGTTGAAAGTTCGTGAGCAAAAGTCATAGCCACGTGTTTGACGCTGTGCCAACGACGATATTGAACATTTGTTTTCTTTCACTTTTGAACCAACAAATTGCAAAAAAAAGTAATCTCCATCACGCATTTGGTATCCTATACGGCTTACCTTCGCTATGATAGTATTCCATCTGTCCAAAAAAATACCAACCAACTTTCAGTGATGCTCTTGTCTAATTTATTCTCAAAATTATTTTTTTTAGAGGGTGTACATTTTTAGATGAAAAGGCTTAATTCAAACTAGTCATGTCAAATTTCTTAATATAATTGTTTATGGGGTTCTAGTTCAGTTGAGAGGACTCTTGTGCTGATGTCCCCTGCAGATAGTTACTACAGTATCATTTAAAATCATAACAGAAAAGGAGTAATTTGTTTGTTCTGTTGTAAATAAGCTTTACCAAATTTTAATAGGAAACCTTGAACGAAATATTCACCATATTATTGTTAAGTATAATACACCTGATTGGTTATAAGGATGAATTAAGTATTTTGAGAAATAAAATTAACAAATAACAGAGTTTAAGTGGTCTATACAATGCAATAGAAGAAAAGCTTTTAGAAACAGAAACATATTTTTAGAGGTGTGTCAAGTAATTCATAATTGACGATAATAATATGGTGAAATAGCTAAGAAGAACAGACCATTGCCTCCATAAGTTTTTACCTTTCCGAAGATTGATAACGTTAAACGTTGGTTTTGCCAAAATTTATAAGATCAATGTTGACAAGAAACCAAATATGTATCCAAACTGACACGACCGTCGTCAAGGGCCAAAATGATGGGCCGACGCATCATGATCTGGTAGTGGGCTAACATGGGCCCAAAGCCCAAAATCCAACGTCTCAGATCAGCTCTCTCTGTCTCTCCCTCTCGAATCCCGTGCTAAAGATCGTGAGTCGCACGCAAGTGGCCAGGCATGGATTCCGGCGATGTCGGCGCGCGGCGGCCACCAATGCGACAGCGCGAGCCCAGCGGATGTCATCAGTGCCCTCGGAGCTCCGGTTGCATGTGTTCTATAGCCGTCGACAGTAGCGGAGCCAGCATTATTATCAAACCCGGATGACTAATAGTATTTTTTTGTTGATCGATTAATTTTTATGGGTGTCAATAGCTATCGATAGAGGTGACGGCCCAGGCGGCGACCGCCCGACCTGTCCGGGGAGGTGGATCTGCTGCTGGCCGTCGAGGCTCGACCGACATCGCCGGAGCTCCGGTTGCTACATGTGTTGTACAGCCGGCGAGGCACGATCGCCGCCGCGAAGCTTGAGGAGATTGTGCACACCGATCGACCACATGGATGAGGAGTACGAGTACAGCCAAATGTATATGCGGTGCCATATATCTCCGGCGGATGGAGATCGAGTTGTACTCTCCAGTGGGAGCATTTGGCAAATGAAGATCATCCAAAGACGGCCGCTCCAGTGATTCTACTCCCTCTGTTCTAAAATATAAGCGATTTCAACTTACAGAGTATAAGGGATTTATTTGTGAAAGGGCACATAGCCTAGTGGTTACATCACCTAAATAGCACCACAAAGTACTGAGTTAAAATCTCCATAGTAACGAACTTCAGATATATCCAGTTAGATGTAGAAGCTGGGTAAAAAATTCCATTCTGTAAATCAATTTTTTTTTGTTAAAGTTTATTATTGGCACACAATAGACCAAACATGCCTAAACGATTTAGGCCCGGTAGTCCAAACCAAAGCCCAAAGTCGGGCCCATATATATTCACGTGATCATCATCATCAGAAGGCCCGCCCAAATGCCCAAATTCAAAGTCCAAATAAAATCCAACACCTGACTTCACCATCAGATCCCCAAATCGCCTTGCTTGGATCGCGCACGCCTGCATGGATTCCGGCGATGGCCGCCGCCGCCGCCGCAGCCAAAGCGAGGGCGCGACTCCGACCGACCGCATCAGCGCGCTCCCCGACGAACTCCTCCACGGCATCCTCCTCCGCGTCGGCTGCGCCCGTGACGCCGCGCGCACCGCCGCCCTCTCCCGGCGCTGGCGCCGCGTCTGGGCGACCATGCCCGAGCTCCACCTCCGCCGCTCCGCGTGGACGAGCTCCCCGACCTCGGCCGTCTCCCTCGTCGACGGCGCCCTCGCGGGCTACTCCGCCCCGACGCTCCGCCTCCTCGACATCGACGTCCCCGGCGCCCGCCTCGCCGTCGCCACCCACGTCGCGCCGTGGCTGCGCTTCGCCGCGGAACGCGTCGCCGGGGAGCTCTCCATCCGTCTGCGGAGCGGGAGGTACGGTGACGGGGCGGGGGAGGAGGAGGTGCTCGACCTGCCCGTCTGCGGCGCGGCGACGGCGATCCACCTCCGCCTCGTCTCTCACCTCCATCTCCGGCCACCTCCCGGCGGCGCGTTCGCCGCGCTCGCCACCGCGACGATACAAAGCTGCCGCGTGGACGGCGGCGAGCTGGGCCGCCTCGTGTCGTCGCCGCAGTGCCCTCGCCTGGAGGAGCTCTACCTCATCAACGTCGCGCTCGTCGCCGCCGCCGCCTCCGACGTCGCCATCTCCTCCGCCTCGCTCCGGCGGCTGCGGTTTGGCGTCTGCGACACCCGCCGCCTCGACGTCGACGCGCCGGAGCTCCGGTTCCTAAGCGTGTCGAACGCCGGCGAAGCGCGCGTCACCGCCGGGAAGGTGGAGGAGGTGGCGCACACCGGCGACATGGACCGGTACGAGTACACCCAGCTGGGACGCCATCTCCGGCGGCTGGAGATCGACTTGACCTCTCCAATGGCGGCGTTTCTTGGGCGGCTCGACACCGTCGGCGAATTGAGCCTTCATCTTGCATTTCAATCGGAGCTAAGTGATGTGCGTCGCTGACACAATTTACCCAGCAAGTTTAATAATTAGTTAATTAATTCTACTCTTTCCGTCTTAAAATAAACTAACCTAAATTGAGTTGGGATATATAATCTAGTACTCCCTGGATAAGACATATCCAGAATTCCCTCCGCCCTAAAATATAAGGGTTTTTAGGTAGACGTGACGTATCCAGATTCGTAGTATTAGAATGCGTCACACCCACCCAAAATCTCTTATATTTGGAGTCGGAGGAAGTATAATAAAATCTAGAGATACATCTGTTTAAATTCATTGTATAAGGTTATAAAGGTTATGTCCCATTCCAACATAGGTTTATTTATTTTGGACTGAGGGAGTAAGCTTCATTTGAAACGCAAGATTTTTTTAATCTCATAAGAACTAAAATGTTTCATGTGTGAAAATTATGTAGAATAAACTAATTATTGCTGCCTCCTAATGTTTTTTTTCCCGATACGGGGCTCCTACTATTGGTTTTTTTTATAATGGAAATCAATCCAGCCTCTACATCGAAAGTCATGGATTCTAATGGTGGTCGTGTGTTTGACAGTGGTCGCAGCAATTCGAGAAGTTAGTCGAGGAAATGAGCAAGCTTCCTGAGTGTGAGGCATTGGAGATATGCCCAGCATTCAATCATTCTCATGGATTTCTACCAATTGCGATGCATCTTCTTAGGAGATTTGCTGGTATCAGAAAACTTTCGGTCAATTTGTGGTGGGTGGTAAGTTCTTATTTTCTTCTTGTCAAAAAAAAATGTTTATTTCTTTTCAAATAGACTACTCCCTCCGATTTCAAATGATTGTCAACAGATACTATTCACATTGAAAATTCAACCGCTCTTATTTCAGTAGTGTATTTATAAATATTAGAAAATACAACATATTATCGAAGTATGTTGCATGTTAAGCACATTTCTATTGAACAAAATATGATATTTAAAATGGTCAAATTCGTTGAGATAACCTGATCAATGGTGACAAATAAAGGGAAACTGATGGGGGTAAAACAATGGTTGCACCTGCATTAACAAATTAATTCGAGCTTGCAAGAAAGCTAGCATTGGTGTATTTCTTTCAGCTTGAAACATAATTTTTTTACTTCATATATGTATTTCGTGTGTAATAACAAGAACATATTTATCTTTTTCAGAAGCCTCCATGTCCACCCGAGCTAGTATCTTATTGCCCTTGCAGAACGTTGACAGATGATCTCTTTACTGACAACAACATCATCATGCTTTGTCATCTTGAAGAGATTGAAATCGATGAGTTCAGAGAAAGAGATGAGCAAGTGGAATTTGTGAACCAATTGCTGAGATGCAATGTGCCGCTGCTTGAAAGGGTTGTGTTCAACGTACCAAGCTGTTGTTTCCCAGAAAGCGAGGAGATCATACGCGAGAAGATCCATGGCAAGCTTCGTGGAGACAAGATCAAGGTCAGATTCAAGATACGGAGATATTTTAGCGAATTCGCGCATTTGATCCCACAACCTAAAAAACGAGTGTAATGTCGTTTGTGGCCGATGTAATGTGTTCTGTTACCAATGATCTTTTGTACGATGGATACTGGTAGCTATCTTGTATGATCAAGACATGTTTTTAGATATCCATCAGGTTAAACTTGCAAAAATTTGGGCATCAATTTCTTGTATGACATTTGAATTGAACAGATGAATGTTTCAGTCTATAATTTCAGCAAAGAGGGTGACTACTCCAATTTTTTTCTTCAGTCTAAATGAGACTCTGCATCTTTCATTGATGATACCAATGGAAAACAGAGTCCTCTGCTTTCATTGCTCTGTCTACTATACTGCAAGTCTAGAGTTGGCCTAAATTAGTTCAAAAATTATTCTAGCTTATCTAAAAACGTTCAAAAAATTTTAATCCACAACTGCTGGTCGTGACCGATGAACTTGTATGAAACTTATATACAAAAAGCCGAGTTATCTTCCTCCTGAGAGGCTGGAGATGGTGCCAAAGCTCGTCATAAGATCGGGATACGACACGACGGACGTGTCGAATCCCTTATCCTGCATCATGGCCAGCACGTCGAAGCCCATGTCCGCCGGCGTCAGCTCAGGCAGCGGCGCCTCGCCGGCGAGGCAGCAGGTGACCTGCCCCATCCCGGGCCTCGCCGCGGCGAACGGGTGCGAGCACAGGAGGCCCAGCTTCAGCACCAGCGCCGCTTCACCGGCGTCGTACTCGCCGTGGAGCCTCCCGTCCACCGTGTCCATGAGTGAACCGTCGCGCCAATGCTCGAGCACCCAGTCGACCAGCGCTATGTGGCTACCTTGAGGGTTCTTCTCCTTGATAGGTTTCTGCCCACAGGTGACCTCGAGGAGGAACACGCCGAACGCGAACACATCGGTGAGAGGGGATGCTTTGCCCGTGCGAATGAGCTCTGGTGCTAGGTATCCCATGGTGCCAACCACATGTGTGGTTTGTGAGTCCGTGCCATGGTCGTATAGTCTTGCCAAGCCAAAGTCACCTAGCTGTCCGTTCATGTCCTTGTCGAGGAGTATGTTGCCTGCCTTGATGTCTCGGTGCACTACCACTTTTTCCCACCTCTCGTGCAAGTAGAGCAAACCAGATGCGATGCCTTTAATGATTCGGAACCTTTGAGCCCAACTCAGTATAGGCTTATCCTCCTCGCTATACAGATATTTATCGAGGCTACCATTTGGTATATACGCATACACCAAAAGAAGCTCACCCTTCCGTCGACAGTAACCGAGCAACTGCACAAGATTACGGTGCCGAATACGTCCAATACTAACTATCTCAGCAACAAACTCCTTCATCCCTTGTCTCGATTCGTGGGACACTTTCTTCACGGCAACCTCCAATTTAGATTTAGGAAGCACTCCTCGGTACACCTTTCCAAATCCTCCTGAACCGAGTAGATGCTTATCCGCAAATCCATCGGTTGCGCGGAACAATTCCTTGTACGAGAATCGATGCGGCCCAAACTCAACCTCCCAATCTTCCCGTAGCTCGGCGTACCTCGATCTCCTCCTCACCACCATAACAATGGCGCCACCCACAACCAGCACAATCGTTGCAGTGACAATTGGTAGAACAATTTCAAGGACCCTGGATCTTGGCTTGGGTTCAGCACGAGGAAGCTTGGGCAGCTTGTCGATGTCAATGGCGGGAGCTGGTCCGTTGATCCCCAAGCTCCAGCCAAGAACGCAGTGGCGCGAATTCACGCGGCCGGTCGCCGCCGAGAAGCCGAGGTAGACGACGTCGGCGAGCACCGTGGAGAGGTCGTGGGTGACCGAGAGCAGCGGCTTGACAGGCCTGGCCATTCTGAGAGGAGCCATGGTGACGTCGAGCTGCTTCTTCTCGCCGCCATGGTAGTCCACCCAGACCTGCATCGCCTGGCGGCTGATCAGCTTCAAGCTCCTGAACTCGCCGGAGACGTCGTCGTAGTAGCCGGCGTTGTAGGCGCGGACGGACTGGAGGCCGTTGATGTCGACGCCGACGTGGTTGGCGTTGATGTCCCTGAACTCGACGCTCTGGATGGTGTCGAGCTCGACGGCGAGCATGTGGTTGCTGGCGTTGCCGTCGTTCTGGACGTTGGTGAGGCCGAGGTACTTGGCCGGCAAGGAGGAGGAGAGGTTGGTTGTCGGGGAGACGACGAAGGCCATGCCATGGGCGCTGAAGTCGGGGTAGACGGAGACGATGCCGAAGACGAAGGTGACGGAGAAGGAGCGGACGGTGGTCGTCGTCGTGGACGTGGAGACGTCGCGGCGGAGGCGCACCGGAGATGGGTGGAACGCGTGGCCTTTGAGGTAGGCTGCGCCGTCGGTTAGCTGGAGGAGGCCGTCCGGTGTGATGGAGGCGGCGCCGTCGACGGTGAGGTTGGAGCCATGGAAGCCGGAGTAGATGAACTGGTCGCCGTTGCCGTCGCCGGAAGCGGCGGTGGTCGGGGATGCAAGGTTGAGGATGAGGGAGAGCAGGAGAAGAAGAAGAAGCATGAAAGACATTTTGGTTCAGGAGATGTTCTCAAGTGGTCTCAAAGTGAGTATATTTCTTAATTTGTGTCATGTGAGTATATATGTGCCATGGATCATTATCTAAAAAAAAAAAATACTCTGTATTTTAATGTATGACGCTGTTGACTTTTCGAACAGCGTTTGACCATTCGTCCTATTCAATTTTTTTATAAATATGAAAATAATTGTGTCATGCTTAAAATGTATTTGATGATAAATCAAGTCACAATAAAATAAATGATAATTATATAAAATTTTTAAATAAGATGAATGGTTAAACGTTGGTTAAAAAATCAACGGCGCCATACATTAAAATAGGGTAGTATATATTTGCTATGGATGATGGGTGTGATTTTGATCTGTTGCTTCCACCCTGATAGGTTATGTATATGTTGTTCATACTTGAAGTTGACTTGTGTTGAACAGGAAAATAAGTTTGTTCTTTTATTTTACAAAAGAAGGATAATTTCTAGTCTCTGTATCAATGAAAAATCTACAGTCATATGTATGACAAATATAATTTAAACTCTAGTGGGTAAAGTCATGCATCCAAAATTCCATCGTAGTAGTATAGCATGAACTGTATTTTCTCACTTATTGGCCCATCGTTTTACCTACAATTAATTATAAGCCGTTATACTTATTACTGATAAAAAATTATAAAACTTTTATTCATAATTAACTACTTAAAAGCTTGCTGGAAAATAAACTACAATGATACAACATCAAAATAATCTCCAAAATCTACTTTAAAATTTTCCTTTTTGAAACCAATGCCAGGCTAAGCTAGTGTTATATGAAGCAAGAGAGAAATTTGTTACAACTTCACCGAAGCGGTGAAAGGAGGAAAGAAGAGGGAAGAGAAGAAGAGAAGAAAAAAGAACAGAAAGTGAAGGAAGAAAAAAAATCATAATACCAGTAGTGAAAACTCAAGCCCCTTCACTACTCTGGTAGATCGGCTTTGTCACAAAATTTAAAATTTGACGATAAGCTATAGTAAACGATGGAGCTTAGTCTTTAGCAGTGTTTTACCTGCTCTGTCGTTGTTTGCATCCTTCAAGAATTACAACGTTTCAGTCTTCTCAATTAATGTCATATTTTGAAATCGAGTAAATCATCTTCTGGAAAATCCTTTAGAATTGTCTCTTGGGTAAGTTTGGAACTGTGGAAAAATCATGCGGGATTTCCACGGAACTTTTGACAGTTTTCTACAGTAGAGCGACACGATATATTCACTGCAAGATTCAAGATAATACATAGTACTTTTTTTTTTGAACTTAGATAATACATAGTACTGGTTCATACTGCCGTGAGTGATCGTTAACTGATCAATTAATTGCTCGTGCGCCATCAGTTTGGACCATATCAGACTGACCCATATTTCTGTAGACAGATGCGATTAGTGACTAGTAACAATGTTTTGAGATCCAAAATATCTTTTGGGTGTCCTGAAATCTGAACCGAGACAAAGATCAAATGGTGAGGTACGACGTGAAGATTGAGCTGATCAGTTAGTTGGGTCAACTACTCCGGCTGGTCCATTCAGTTCAGAGTTCACACTTTTGCTTGACTAGGGCTAATTAAGGTATATGCAGTGCTGTCCATATCATCACATGCGCTTAATTACTACAATTTTGCTGGCGTCAGGGATGTGAGATGTCATGTTCATGTTGGAGATATCAGGCTAGCTAGCTTGCGTGTTCCATTTTTGCATAAGTCTTACACAAAAGCGGATCTATCATGGTGGTGGATAGAGCTCGAGTTTTCATCAGTGATATTAAGACTATAATTATTGAGCCATCTTTGAAATTATTTTGTCATATATACATTCATGAGAAATGGCACTGAAGTTTTGTGTAGTTTATTCAGTCTGATCACCTATATTTTTTTTTCTGGATCTATCTTTTTCACAGAGATGTATACATGCATGATCTCTCTTAATGAATCTCTCTCTTGTAGCTGTCTAAACTCGAAGATTTCGCATCGCCCACTAGGATTAAAACTAGTACGGAATTTCTTTTGTAATATGTTGGTACTATAACTAGAAAAATCATCCCCACAGAACTAAAAGCACGTCGAAATACAAATCTAACTGAGAGGATCCAAAATACTTTTCTATCACAAAATTACATATACACAATCAGCCTAATTATTAACTAGTCGTTAGAACTTGTAATCCCAATTGCATTTTTTTAACATAATAAAGATTTAATTAACCAAATGGAAACAGGCATGGTTCTCTTATCCTTCTTCCAAGAGGCTAGAGGTAGCTGTGCTGATGTTTCCCTTTGAATTTGAAGAAGGATATGACTGAACATACGAGTCGAACCCGTCGTTCTGCATCAGTGCAAGCATGTGAAAGCTCATGCTGGTTGGCATCAGCTCAGGCAGAGCCACCTCTCTCTTCAGATACTGCATCACTCGTCGCATATCTGGTCTCGCGTTGATGAACGGGTGTGAGCACAAGAGCCCCAACTTGAGCACCAGGCAAGCCTCGCCAACGTCGAACTCACCATGGAGCTTCAGATCAACCGTGTCAACAAGAGATTGTTTGTGCCAATGATCCAACACCCAGTCAACCAGCATAACCTGGGTGCCATGGGAGTCATGGTAGATAGGTCTTCGTCCACATGTGACCTCGAGGATGAAGGTCCCGAAGGCGAATACGTCGGTAAGTGGAGTCGCCTTGCTGGTTCGTCCCAGCTCTGGAGCCAGGTATCCTATTGTGCCGACGACATGCGTGCTCTGTGGGTCTTCGCCGTGGTCGTACAATCTGGCGAGACCGAAATCACCTAGCCGTGCGTTCATCTCGTTGTCGAGGAGCACGTTACTTGCCTTGATGTCTCGATGGATGACTACTTTGTCGCACTCCTCGTGAAGGTAGAGCAAACCCGATGCGATGTCTTTGATGATCTGAAACCTCTGAGCCCAACTTAGAGTTGGCTTGTTGTCTTGGCCATGCAGATATTTATCGAGGCTCCCATTCGACATATACTCGTATACTAACATAAGCTCACCCTTCCGTCTGCAGTAGCCAAGTAACCTCACGAGATTGCAGTGCTGGAGACGGCCTAGGCTGACAACCTCCGCGACGAATTCCTTCACGCCCTGGCTCGAGTCATGTGACACCCTCTTGACAGCAATCTCCACGTTAGAATTCGGAAGCACGCCCTTGTACACTCTTCCGAACCCTCCTACGCCGAGCAGGCACTTACTCTCGAATCCTTGTGTTGCGTGGTGCAGATCCTTGTAGGGGAACCGATGCGGCCCAAACTCAACCTCCCAATCTTCGCGTAGCTCAGTGTACCGCTTCCGCCTACGCACAAGTAGAATGACCAAAATGCCCATGGCGAGGACGACGGCCGCAGATGCTATTGGGAGGAAGATCTCAAGGAACTTGGACCGAGCCTTGGGGCCCTCCCGTGGCAGCTTGGGCAGCTTGGCGACGTCGATCGCCGGAGCGGGGCCGCCGTCCACAGCGAAGCTCCAGCCAAGAACGTAGTGTCGTGAGTTGAACGAGCCCGTCGCCGACGAGAAGCCGACGTACGCCGTGTCGGTGATCACCGACGACAGGTTGTAGGCGGCGGAGATCAGCGGCCTGACGGGCTTGGCGACGGCGAGCGGAGCCAGGGTGACGTCGATCCGGGCGTCGCCGGCGTCGTAGTCGACCCACACCCGCATCGCCTCGTGGCTTATCAGCGTCAGGTTCCTGAAGCCGCCGCCGTTGATGTCGGCGGCGTAGTAGCCGGCGCTGGTGGACTGGAGGGAGACGAGGCCGTTGATGTCGACGCCGACGTGGTTGTCGTTGATGTCGCGGAACTCGTCCTGCTGCAGGGTGTCGAGCTCGACGGCGAAGATGCGGTTGCGGGCGTCGCCGTTGCTGGTGACGTTGACGAGGCCGAGGTACTGGCTGGCCAGCGCGGCGGAGAAGTCGGTGGTGGGTGACACGAGGAAGACGATGCCGTGGGCGCTCATGTCCGGGTAGGCGGAGAGGATGCCGAACACGAACGAGGCGGAGAAGGACCTCACCACCACCCCATCGCCACCGCCGCCGCCGCCGGAGCCGAAGCCGAAGCGGAGCGGCGTCGGGTGGAACGCGTGGCCTTTGAGCTGGAGCGTGCCGTTGGTCAGCTCGAGGAGTCCGGCTGGCGTGACCGTGGCCGTGCCGTCGAGGGTGAGGTTGGCGCCGGCGAAGCCGGAGTAGACGAACCGGCCGCCGCCGCCGTCGTTGCCGCTGGCTGCGACGACGAGAAGCTCGTTGGCTCCGACCACGCAGAGCACTAGGAGGTAGATGCTGATGAGCTTCATGTGAAGAAGCATGGTTGCTTGCTTCGCCATGGATGATATGATAGCCTTGGCAAGAAGAGAGTGTAGCTCGGTCATTTCTCCTTTTCCCCTTGTGGTTGTCGCCTGAAGATGTGTCCATGCTGGATATGGATTTCTTTTCTTTTTTTATACGTTGTCTAAAAGGTTATAAAAAAAAGGGAGTAGTTATATTAATGGTGTCATATTTTTCACAAATATATGTGACATGCTATTTCACAAATACTATTTGATCTATGTAATGAAAAATAAATATCATATTTGACTGTAAATTACGTCTTTTAAAATTGTTATTTCTGTTACTGCTTTAAGTTGAATTTAAGCTTACATGGTGATGCAATAATATATGATCTTTTGTTTTATTATTATTTCTTTTACAAATTTTTAGGCCACATGCAAAAACGAGACATCCTCTCGGGAAATGAATACTGTCCGTTACTACTACGTCATGGCAATGATACGGGTCATACAGGGAGAGAAGAGAGTAGATGAGAATTGAGACTTTAAGATTGACTTTAGCTGAGAGAGATCTATATCTGAATATCTGAACTTGTGTCAATGTTCATATGTCACCAGCACCAGAATTTGACTATTTTGTGTGTGTGTGTGTGTGAGAGAGAGAGAGAGAGAGAGAGAGAGAGAGAGAGAGATCAAAGGAGGATTGATGTTTCGTACCGCCAAGTGTAATTTCAGTGGAAAAACGATGATATATTTCCATGGAATTGATTGGGAAGCTAACATAGGCCTTGTGCACACAAGGAATGGAGAACATATAGTCTTTGGAATATTATTTTCGTTCAGTGAAACAGAATACCTTATTGTCACAATCCTTTAGGTCTCCTCTAGAATGGTTTAATTTTTTAGGATTTTCACATGAATTGAACTAATTCTTGTTAAAAAAAGAGGGTAAATTATCTTCATTTCAAAGGAGCCCTTTATAATATATTGCATAAATGATTTTTTTTTCTATATTTATGTTTGAGTAATTAATTCTTTTTTTCCGATGAAAATGGAAGGACCAGAGTTGTTTTTTTATACTTTTGTAAGAAAATAAAATGAAAGGTAAAGAGTTTAAGAGGAAGTCAGTATACTTCTGGAAGGAAAATCACTAGGCTGATAAGTTAGTGGGCCGTGGCCCAAAATCTTGAGTACTAGTAAATGGGCCTCAATGGGCTTTTATATCCTTCGGCTTTGTGGATACCCCCACTCCGGCGGCGACGCCGGCGAGCAAACCATTCCGCCGCGCCGCCGCCTATCCGCTTCGCCGGCCGGCGGCCGCCCACTGCCTCCCTCGACGCACTGGCTCCGCCAGGGAGTACTCACACGCGGCCGAAGCTTGCCTGCTCATTCGATCGACAGCCCTGCTGGCGTCGCCTGCGGGGCACGACGGCGACGCCCTCCGCGGCAGGCCGCCCTCCTTGGATTTCTTCGGATCAGGGGTAGCTGGTATGCTCCTGTAATCCTCTTTGCTTCAAGTCGTCATCCTTTTGGTTTGGGGATCAGTTCTGCCAATTTCCTAGTTAGGTTGAGGCTGTACGCGGTGGAATTCCAGGGCTAGGTTGCCATGGCATGTGAATGCTTCGTGTAGTTTATACGGTCTCAATTGGTGTAATAAATTGAAAAAAAAAAGAACAACGAGCTAAATCACAATTGCAATGGGTGATAAATTTGGCCATCAACAATACTGCCACCAATGACAATGAGCTGCAATTCCATCTCTGAAAGCCTGAATTTCAGGTCAGAACCCTGTGGCAGATGTCCCTGCCTGCTGCATCATCGTAAAAATCGACATAACCGAATAAACCAGATGCAGAAATGGAGATATGGGTGCAGCTGGAATGAGCAGTGTATTGGAGGAAAGTACATTTCTGTTTGTGCAGATTTTGCCCCATGTTTTACAACCATATTTAACAGGTATATAGGAATTCCTACACAAGATTAGAACAGTTGGACAACAAGGGGTTCAGACATTGTGATTTCTGAATTCACTGAATCAGATTCGAAACGAAAAATAAGATACCATCATATAGCTAAATATGGGGAAAAAAAACACTGTCTGTTTGTTCACTGATGCTTTCTCGTTCAGAATTACTTCACTGAAGTCCTGTAAATAGATTTTTTATCTACTTTCGGCATTCCATCAGGCATCAAGGATAAATGTGGTTTATCCTAGCCTGCTAGTTTTCACTTACATCTTAACAAAATAGATCATGTGGCACACGGATTTGCCAACTAAGTATGTAGGATACCGTTAAGCAGTACCATGTATGTCATCTTCCTCCTGATAGGTCAGATACAGTGCCGAAACTCACCGTTGATGATGGATTATATGACATGATGTATGGGTCAAAACCTTTTTTTCTCATTGAGGCTAGCTCGTTGAAGTTCCGGTGTGTTGATGCCAATTCTGGAACTGGTGTATCTCCTTCAAGGTAGTCCACAACTTGTTGCATGCATGGCCTGGCATTAGTAGAAGGGTGTGAGCAGAGCAGCCCAAGCTTTAGCACAAGGCATGCCTCTTCCACATTGTAATCACCTTGTAACCTTGGATCAACTGTGTCAAGTAGGGATTCATTGTGCCAATGCTCAAGTACCCAATCGACTAACAAAATTTGATTTCCGTGTGCATCTTCCTTAATAGGCCTTTGCCCACATATGACCTCGAGAAGGAATGTGCCAAATGCAAAAACATCTGTAAGAGTTGATGCCTTCCCTGTGTGAATTAGCTCTGGTGCAAGGTAACCCATGGTGCCAACCATATGCGTTGTGTGTGCATCAGTGCCATGGTCATACAGCCTTGCTAGGCCAAAATCGCCGAGTCGTGCATTCATTTCTTTATCGAGTAGTACATTGCTTGCTTTGATATCCCGGTGAATGACAACTTTATCCCACTTCTCATGAAGGTAGAGTAAACCAGATGCAACATCTTTGATAATTTGGAACTTCTGAACCCAATCCAAGACCGGCTTGTTCCCTTCATAATGCAAATATCTGTCAAGACTGCCATTTGACATGTAGTCATATACCAAAAGGAGCTCACCCTTTCTCCGGCAATAACCAAGTAGTTGCACGAGGTTGCGGTGTCGAATCCTGCCAATACTAGCTACCTCAGCAACAAACTCTTTCATTCCTTGCCTTGATTCATGGGACACCCTCTTCACAGCAACCTCCAATTTTGATTTTGGGAGAATTCCTTTGTATACTCTGCCAAACCCTCCCGCTCCAAGAATATGCTTGTCACTGAATCCATCAGTAGCATGGAGTAAATCCTTGTATGCGAACCGATGCGGTCCAAACTCATCCTCCCAATCTTCACGCAGTTCAGCATATCTCTGTCTTCTCCGTACTAGAAAAACCATGGCGATGCCCACAGAAAGGATGAATGCTGCGATAGCTATTGGAAGTAGGATTACCAAGACCTTGGATTGAGGCTTTGGGGCAAGGCGAGGTAGCTTTGGCAACTTGGCAATATCAATGTTTGGAGCAGGCTTGTTCATGCCGAAGCTCCAACCAAGAATGTAGTGCCGAGAGTTGATTGGGCCTGTCGCAGAGGAGAATCCGATGAATGATGGCTCCATGAGAACATCTGAGAGGTTGTATGTGGTAGAGATGAGTGACCTTCCTGGTTTAGACATATCAATTGGACCAATGGTGATGTTAATTTGAGCGATATCTCCATCATAATCCACCCATGCCTGCATAACATCGCCGCTGATAAGATTCATGTTATGGAAGCTTCCATTCTTGTCGTAGTAGCCTGCATAGTGTGATTCCACCGAGTGGAGGCCATTGATGTCAACACCGATATGGTTGTTGTTGATGTCCTGGAACTCAACATTCTGCATGGTGTCAATCTCTGCAGCAAAAATGTGGTTGCTCGCGTTGCCATTGTTGTCGATGTTGGTGAGTCCCATGTACTGTGCTGCCAGTGCTGTGGATAGATTGTTGCTCGGCGCAACAACGAAGGCGATGCCATGGCAGCTCAGGTTGGGGTAAGATGTGAGGATGGCAAACACAAAGGAGGCTGAGAAGGATTGCACCGTGCCGTTGAGTGACCCGCGGAAGCTCAAGGGAGCTGGGAAGAAGGCATGGCCTTTGAGCTGGGTCGTGCCGTTGGTCAGCTCAAGGAGGCCGCCTGCTGTGACCGTGGCCGTGCCATCGAGGGTGACGTTGGCACCGGAGAAGCCAGAGAAGACGAACTGGTCATCGCTGGCACTGACGGCCAGCACAAGATTAAAGCCATGGAACAGCAGGATATGGAGAAGAAAGGAGAGTGCAATCTTCATGAAAGGCGCGGTACGGTGCACTTGTTTTTGCCAATTGTTCCTCTGAAAACTGATATGGACTAACAACTCCATAACATTTGCAGCTGAAGTTTACTTACTGGTGGTGCGGTGGCTTCTTGTTACATATGGTCTCAAGTGCTCTGGATTTCATTCGGAAATCGATAAATCGACCATCGTTTTCTGGTACTATTACTGCCCTCTTGTAGTCAAAGCATGTGATGGAATTTCTTTTTTACGATCCATTTGAGCTTATCAGAACTTCTTTACTAAAGAACTTATCAAAACATTTATTTGTTGTGCTTGCTTGACTGTTTCCTGGAAACAGATGCCAGGGTTGTTTAGCAACAACGTCACAGGACACGTCAACGAATCTTCTAAGAGAGATCAGCAAGTGTGTAGCGGAAGTTGAGCGAAAATTTGTGCTTCCTTCTGGTCAGAAATTTTCTTTTCCGGAATCAATTATCACAGTCGTGTTGGACCACATGATTTTGACTGATCAATCATAATCGTGTTGAAGAATGGAATGCCGTGCTCCTCTAGCCATAGTAGATTTGCAGTTGTCAATGCTGTAGTTTTCACTTAATTTCTGACATGTCCACTTCGACGATGACTTGATAGTGTTTGGTCTTTGGTTTGTCTAGGCTGTTGTCCAGCTAAGTCTGGTTAAGAAGTGAACTTGAACTGCGCTGTGATTATTACTCCCCCGTCCCAAAATAACTTTATTTTTCACCATCTTATTTATCTCAAAATAACTTCATCTCTTATGCAATCATTGCATTGGAGTTTGTGAAAATAGATGACAAATGCATTGTTATTTGTTAAACTGAAAGTCATGGCATTGGTTTTTTTGTCTTTGTAATGGTATGTGTGAGATGGGTGAAAAATATCTCTGTTGTTCAGGAAAGGATTTTAACCGCTCAACATCACCACTATATTCCATCATAGTGTTTAGATATTTTAAATCAGTACCTCTCTTGACTTGACTCTGATACCTTACAAGTCACCTAACAAAACTAGATGATGAACAAGATATGTAGGGAGGTATGGTACTTCAACACTTTGGTCTGATCTTTTAGACAATCACGAATTTCTCATGTCTTGCACTTAGGCTTTTATGGATTTCAGTTTCTTTCTTTTTGCATTATCCACTGCAATAATTGAAATTCAGTAATTTCACTCGGTACTTTTTGGCCTGAATTTCATTAAACAGTATAACTCTTTTTCAGTAACTTATTTTTTTTTAAAAAAAATAAAACAGTAAAGTTGAAAATGGAGGCCACACTTGAGTATCTAAGTGACTAAGCATGCAAAATTTACATAAGTACAATATGTTAACACTGTAATTCATCTTTGTGCTGAAAGGTTGTTGGACATGGCGCTCATGCTTGCCGTTGATGAAGGGTATGACATGACGTATGAGTCGAATCCTTGGTTCTGCATCAGTGCAAGTGTATGAAAGCTGTGGTGTGTTGGCACCAGTTCTGGCATTGCCATGTCTCCAGTTAGGTACTTCATCACTTGCCTTATATTGGGCCTTGCATTGGAGAGAGGATGTGAGCATAATAATCCAAGCTTTAGTACTAGACATACCTCATCTACATTATAGTTTCCATGGAGCTTTGTATCCACTATCTCAGTTATTGATCCTTTGTGCCAATGCTCGAGCACCCAGTCAACCAACACATGTTGTTCGCCCTCTGGAACTTGCATGATTGGTCTTCGCCCACAAGTAACCTCGAGAATAAATATGCCAAAAGCAAATATATCAGTCAAAGGAGTGGCCTTGCTGCTACGGCCTAGTTCTGGCGCTAGGTATCCTATGGTACCAACCACATGAGTGGTCAGTGGGTCTGCACCACGGTCATAAAGCCTTGCCAAGCCAAAGTCACCTAATCGACTATTCATCTCGCTGTCGAGGAGGACATTGCTTGTTTTAATATCCCGGTGGACGATCACTTTCTCCCACTCCTCGTGAAGGTAGAGCAAACCAGATGCAATTCCTTTGATGATTTGAAGTCTTTGATCCCAATCTAAAACCCGCTTATCACCTTCACTGTACAAGTGTTTATCAAGACTTCCATTCGCCATATACTCATACACCAAAAGAAGTTCACCTTTTCGCCTGCAATAACCAAGTAACTGAACAAGATTACGATGCTGTAGTCGACCTATGCTAACAACCTCCGCAATGAACTCTTTCATGCCTTGCTTCGAATCATGTGATACCCTCTTGACAGCAATCTCCAATTTAGATGATTGAAGCACTCCCTTGTATACTCTCCCAAATCCTCCGACACCAACCAGATTCATGCTCTTGAATCCATCCGTGGCGCGGAACAAGTCCTTGTAGGAGAACCGATGCGGTCCAAACTCAACCTCCCAATCTTCCCGCAACTCGGTGTACCTCATCCGTCTCCGTATCAGAAGAACAGAGACGGTTCCCAATGCGACGATGAATGTAGCCGTCGCCAATGGCGGAATTATCTCTACCATCTTGGGCTTGTGCTTGGGGGCGAAGCGAGGCAGCTTGGGCAGCTTGTCGATGTCGATGGCCGGAGCAGGTCCATCCATGGCGAAGCTCCAACCGAGAACGTAGTGTCTGGAGTTGAAAGAACCCGTCGCCGACGAGAAGCCCACCATGTAGGGCTCGTCGGCGACGAACACCGTGGAGAGGTCGTAGGTAGAAGACAACAATGGCTTGGAAGGCTTGGCCATCTTGAGGGGAGCCATGGCGACGGTGATCTGCTTGGCCGTGCCGTTGTAATCGACCCACACTTGCATGGCCTCGCCGTGGCTCGCCAGCGTCAGGTTGTGGAAGCCATGGTCGCCGGAGTTGCCGCCGTCGTTGTCGTCGTAGTAGCCGGCGCTGGTTGAGTTAATGGAGGTGAGGCTGTTGATGTCGACGCCGATGTGGTTGCCGTCGATATCACGGAACTCGTTGTTCTGGTCGGTGTCGAGCTCGACGCCGACGAGGTGGTTCCCGGCGTCGCCGTCGCTGCTGCCGTTGAAGAGGCCGATGTACTGGCTGGGGAACGCGCCGGAGAAGCTGTGGTTGGCCGGTGCGACGAAGAAGACGATGCCGTGGCCGCAGGCGTCGGCGTCGGGGCATAGGATGGCGAACACGAAGGACGCCGAGAAGGACCGTGTCGCCGTCGCCGTCGCCGTCGCCGTCGCCGTCGCCGTCGACGACGACGACGAGCCGCCGCGGAGGCGGAACGGGGCCGGATGGATGGCGTGGGCTTTCTGGCGGAGCGTGCCATTGGTGAGCTCGAGAAGGCCGGTGCGCGTGATCACGGCGGCTCCGTCGAGGGTGAGGTTGCTGCCGGTGAAGCCTGAGTAAACGAACTGGTGGTCGTCGTCGTTGCCGTCGCCGGCGGTGCACGCGGCGAGGCTAGCTCCGGCAAGGAGGAGGAGGCAGATGAGCTTCACGTGAAGGAGCATGATGGCTTCATGTTTCACCAAAAAACCAGCTTCAACGCTAATAATAATGCTGTAATAGTGTGAGGTCAAAGTAAAATTAGAGTGATTTAATTAGTGTAGGGGTCTATTCGTGTTTGTAACGACCATGATTGTGGTTTAATTTACTAAATTTCTCTAAATCTTAATAAATTTGGCCGGCGTTTCTTTCACCGTCCGGTGAAATTTGAGGTGAATTGACCTGACTGTTGTGCTAAATTTGAGAGGACACTTCTTGTGTCAATACACCTCTGTTCTAGTTTTCTCTCTCTCTAGATTTTTGGAAAAATTGTAACTATCTTCGTATTCAAATAGAAGTAACTGAGATAACTTTGAGCTTTATTATTAAAAATTTAACTATTAATTATTTTTAAATTGTCATATTCAGGCCATAATAAATTTTAATACGGAGTAACGTTTTTAGAAATTTAATAACCGATAACTTTGAGCTTCATATCCTGATATCCATTTCAGTGTATGTAAATATTTTTACAAAAAGGATGAACGGTCAAATTCTGAAAGCGAATATTGCAGGCTATCAATTGGAGTATTTAAAAACAGAGTAAAGTAGATGAATGAACTTCTAGAAAATGAGGTAGATGAGTCTAGATATACATTTCAAATAATCTCTGGGAACTTACATAGTAATATAATGGGCTATTTATTAGTATTTATCACGAAGTCATGGGCCTAAAATGGGCTGGGCTGGAGCCCAAAATCATATACAAGGAAAATAGCGTGGGCCATATTGGGCTGGGAGTCATCATTCCCACACCGCCGGCGAGCAAGCCGATTCCACCGCGCCGCCGCCTTATCTGCTTCGCCGGCCGGCGGCTGCTCGCCGGCTACCTTCCTATACGGCGCCGGCTCGGCCAGGGCGTCGCGAGGCAAGGCCGAGGCTGGCCTCATCGCTCGCAGCCAACCAGCAGAGCCTGCCGGCTGCCGCCGGTGCTATGCCCGATGGCGACGCCCTCGTCGGCGGCGGCCGCCGCCGGAGGAACGGTGGCTGCATGGGGTTTCTTCGGCTCAGGTAGCACTTGCTACTCTCCCGTAATCCTGCTTGCCTTCAATTTCTCATTTCTCGATTTGGGAGCAGTTCTTACCATTTTCTAGTTGCCATGGCATATGAATGCTTGTGTGATTTAGGGTCTAAATTGGTAATGCTAAATTGACAAACAACAGATAAATGATATGCTTCCATGATTCCATCCAAGTACATCTACAGTGCTATTATAGGTTTTGGGCTAATTGTTACCCCAACATACATGGCCATTCTTGTCTGGTCCTACACTGAAAATTGAATAAAGGATTCATATATCATATTGCTTACACTTTTATTATCTATACCATATTCTGAATTGTTGTTTGATAATCATTTATCCAATGGGCAGAATCGACCGATGTTCATTTAGAGAAAATATACAAGAAAACACCCAGTATAATGCAATAGACTAAGGATCTTTTTTTTTTTCCTATCGTCCTGAGAGGCTTGACATTTCGCCAATTCTTGTCATCAGCTGTGGATATGACACACCGGAAGGGTCTAATCCTCTGTTTTCCATCAATGCTAGCATGTTCAGGCTCGTATCAGTTGGCGTGAACTCTGGAAGTGGCATGTCTCCGTTGAGGTATAGCATGACATGGTTCATACTGGGCCTTGACCTAGCGAATGGTTGTGAGCACAAGAGCCCAAGTTTCAGCACAAGGCATGCCTCATTTATGTTGCAGTTTCCTTGTAGCCTCTTGTCTATTGTCTCCACCATCGATCCTTTCTGCCAATGCTCAAGTACCCAATCAACCAACATAAATCGGTCACCTTGTGCATTCTGCTTGACAGGCCTTTGCCCACAGGTGATCTCAAGAAGAAATGTGCCAAATGCGAACACATCCGTAAGAGGAGACGGCTTACCTGTTCGTACCAATTCCGGGGCTAGGTAACCCATGGTACCTACCACACGTGTGGTCTGTGGGTCAGAACCATGATCGTATGACTTTGCAAGACCAAAATCTCCTAACCGTCCATTCAATTCACTATCAAGTAGCACATTGCTGGCCTTGATATCTCGGTGGATGACAACACTTTCACACTCCTCATGGAGGTAGAGCAAGCAAGATGCAACTCCTTTGATGATATGGAACCTCTTATTCCAATCTAGCGACAGTTTGTCTTCAGAATATAGGTACTTGTCAAGACTGCCATTTGGCATGTAGTCATAGACCAAAAGAAGTTCACCTTTTCGCCTGCAGTAGCCAAGTAGCTGAACAAGGTTTCGGTGTCGAAGGCGGCCAATGCTAACAATCTCAGTGATGAACTCCTTTGTTCCTTGCCTTGATTCATGTGACAACCTTTTAACTGCAACCTCCAATTTGTTCGTTGGAAGTATGCCTTTATACACCTTTCCAAATCCTCCTGTACCAAGTAGGTTCTTGTTCTTAAATCCTTCTGTAGCAAGGAACAAATCCTTGTATGAGAACCTATTTGGCCCAAACTCTGTCTCCCAATCTTCCCGTAGCTCGGTATATGTCAATTTCCTCCGCACAAGAAGAACTAAGAGAGCCCCTGCAACAAAGATGGATGCTGCAATAGTGGCTGGCATAATGATCTTCAAAACCTTTGAGCGAGGCCTTGGTCCAACATGAGGTAACTTTGGTAGCTTCCTTATGTCAATCCCAGAAGCAGTTCCACCCATGCTGAAGCTCCAGCCAAGCACATAATATCTTGAGTTGATCACCCCAGTGGCTGATGAGAAGCCAATGTATGCTGTACCTGGGAGCACTGTTGAAAGATTGTAGATGGCTGAGACTAGTGGCAGTGTAGGTTTAGCCACTTTGATGGGAGCCAAGGTTACATCAATCTGTGTGGATCCTGCATCATACTCAACCCACACTTGCATCACGTCACGGCTAACAAGCGTCAAGTTCTTGAACACACCATTTTTGTCATCATAGAAGCCAGCATCCCGGGATTGCACAGAGTGGAGACTATTAATGTTGATGCCAACATGGTTGTCACTGATGTCCTGGAACTCACTGTTTTGGATGGTGTCAAGCTCAACTGCGAATATATGGTTGCTTGTGTTGCCGTTGTTCTGGTCATTGAGGATCCCTAAATACTGGGCTGGCAGCGCGTTGGAGAAACTCTTGTTTGTGGAGATAAAGAAGGCCATGCCATCTGCACCTTTGTCAGGAATAGCAGAGAGGATGCTGAAGATGAAGGTGAGCGAAAAAGATTGCACGTCACCAGTGGGATGCCTACGAAATTGCAGAGGAGCTGGGTAGAGTGCATGACCTTTGAGGTTAAAGGTGCCATTGGTCAGCTGAAGGAGCCCTTCTGGTGTTATTGTAGCTGTGCCATCAAGGCTTAGGTTGGCTTGACTGAAGCCAGAGTAGATGAACTGCTCCTCAGCAATGGTGAAGGATGCAAGGTCGTGGCCAAGGAATATGAGTTGGCATAGAATTAAACGCTTGTACATCTTGCCAGGCATGAATGCAACCTGTTACAACTCTAGATTCTAGAAAGATGCAATAACAAAGTACTTTATAAGATAACTGTGAACAATGGCTTGCGGTTGTCTACCCCTCTAGTAATAGTCAAACTATTGTTATTTTTCTCAGTATTGACTCAGCCAGCTATGAAATATGATTTTTGTATATTGCTTTATGTATTTTTTCTGTGCTATTCTCTTGTCAAGTGAATAGCTTCTCTTTTGACTCCTTGCTACTTTGATAGAGACTACTTTGACAAAAGGAACATTTATCACCTTTTATTTTAACTAAAGACAGTTTGAACTTTCCTTGGAAAAATTGACTAATCAAATTTAATAAAGAAAAACTATCCAACATTTGCTAGCGCTGCTGAATCTCATACCTCCATTTTGCCAGCCAAGTGCTTATTGAGATCCAACAGTACTATTGACCTGTCAATAACTATTAATGTATCTCCGAAGACAAATTCTGGCCAATGAAATGTTTCTTTCTGATTTCCAATATCTGAATTTCGCATTTGTTGAATAAGTCAAGAAATGCATCCTGTGTTACACGCCTACAGGTTGGTTCCTGTTGCCATCACTGCAGTCACTTTCCCTAGTCTTGTGGTCATGTTTGCAACTGTGATGTGTGCACTTTGTGTTTAGCTGAATAAAATCTTGTCCAGTTATATGGTCTAAACTTAATCTCCAAAACAAGAGGAAGTTAAACTTGAATTTAATTCTGAAATACAGATTTTTTTTGAAGGACTCAACCAAAACAAATGGGAAATCTAATGGGTATATAAATGTTTAGATAAACATAAATAACTTGTGTTGCTAACAACTTTTTTTACCATACTACTTTATTTTCTTGAGTACAGCGAACGGTTATTTAACAAATCTTGTGTTCACAAGTACCAAGTGGAGAACCTTTATTGAATTTTGCTCATTGGAAACCAATCTTCATTTTTTGGGGAGCTCATTTTATTATTGGTCCTGTTGCAGAGGACTGGAACTCGTCATATCTCGACAAGTGCAAGCAGATCTTATGGTAACTTATCCGTTCTTTGTTTTGTAGGATCTAATGTTTGTTCTGACCTGATACACCCCAGATTTTCTTTTATTCCCTGCTGTGTTTTCTATAGTTAAATACTAATAGTAATGCCTTGGCTCGTACATGGGGCACAGAAATAGAAGAAAAATATTTAGAAGAATAATAATTTATGTCATTTCTTGTTCAGTTATGCAAGTGAAATATGTCCTGCATCCTTGCTAGAGTAGATGACGAAATTGTCCAATTCTAGTTTTGGTAGTCTGTCTTCTCCCTTTCTGTTTTCTTCTTTTCTATTCATGTGCCTCATTTTGCTCAAGTTTGTGACTCTGTGTACCCACTGCATCTTCTATTTAGAAGGTCTTGATTTTATCATCAAATAAATTTATAATCCCAGTTGAGTATATTAAACTAAACATAACCGGCACATGAAAATGTGGAAATAAATTTTATGAGAATAAAATTCTGTAGATAGGTAAAAAGCATTCCAAACATATAAACAAGCACACCTAAAACTATTGAAGATCACATGCCTCATCTATTCATCTTCCTTCTGAGAGTGAGGTGCTAGATATTGTGCCAAAACTTGTTGCTGATGAAGGATCTGTTATGGTGCATGGACTGAATCCTTTGTTCTGTATCAAGGCCATCACGTAGAAGCTTAAATGTGTTGGCATTGACTCAGGTAGTGGTATGTCCTTGTTGAGATATTGCACGACTTGCCTCATATTTGGCCTTACGCTTATTAAAGGGTGGGAGCACAGCAACCCTATATTTAGTGCTAGGCAGGCCTCATCAATATTGTATTCTCCTTGAAGTTTGATGTCCACTGTATCAGCGAGTGAGCCTTTATGCCAATGTTCAAGCACCCAATCAATAAGAACCAATTGGTCGTCTTCTGTGTTTTGCATGACAGGCTTTTGCCCACAGGTGACCTCAAGAATGAACATGCCAAAGGCAAATACATCTGTAAGAGGGGTCGCTTTGCCACCGCGTGCTAGCTCTGGAGCTAGGTATCCTATGGTGCCAACCACTCGTGTGGTTTCTGGATCAGTACCATGATCATACAACCTTGCGAGACCAAAGTCACCTATCCGTGCATTTGTGTCGTTATCGAGGAGTACATTGCTTGCCTTAATGTCTCGATGAATGATAACTTTCTCGCTCTCTTCATGAAGGTAGAGTAATCCAGATGCTACACCTTTGATGATTTGGAATCTTTGAGTCCAATCTAATGTAGGCTTGCCCTCTTTACCATATAGGTATTTGTCAAGGCTTCCATTTGGCATATAATCATACACTAAGAGAAGTTCACCTTTTCGCCGGCAATATCCCAGTAACTGCACAAGATTGCGGTGTTGAAGGCAACCAATACTAACAATCTCTGCAATAAATTCTTTCATGCCTTGGGTTGAGTCATGTGACACCCTTTTCACAGCTATATCCAATCTAGATATAGGGAGCACCCCCTTATACACACTTCCAAACCCTCCTGTACCTAGTAGGTGCTTATTTTTGAATCCTTCTGTGGCATCAAACAAATCCTTGTAACAGAACCTCCGTGGCCCATACTCGACTTCCCAATCTTCGCGTAGCTCAGCATATCTTAGATTCCTCCGCATGCACAGAAAAATGGTAGTGCCCGCAGAGAGGAGGAACACCACAGCTACTATTGGCAAAATTGTCTGCAATACCTTGGACCGAGCCTTTTAACCTAGACGAGGAAGCTTGGCAATGTCAATTGATGGAGCCGGGCTGTTCATGCCGAAGCTCCAACCTAGCACATAGTGTTTTCCACTGACTGTTCCTGTTGAAGATGAGAAGCCAATATATGCCGAGTCAGTGAGCACTGTTGATAGATTGTAGGTAGTAGAAAGCAGTGGCTTCACAGGTTTTTCCACATTGAGGGGGGCCATGGTCACATTGATCTGTGTGATTTCTCTATCATAGTTTACCCAAACTTGCATCGCCTTCTGGCTAATGAGTGTCAAATTCTTAAAGTCACCACTCTTATCATCGTAAAAGCCAGCATCACGAGATTTCATGGAGTAAAGACTGTTGATATTGATGCCAATGTGGTTATTACTGATGTCTTGTAAGTCATCATTTTGGACAGTATCGAGCTCGATAGCAAAGATGTGGTTGTTTGGGTCTCCATTGTTCTTGTTGTTGAAAAGGCCCAAATACTGGGTCCAGAACGCACTTGCGAAATTCTTGCTTGGAGCAATGAAGAAGGCGAGGCCATGCCCACATGAATCAGGGTAGTCACAGAGGATAGCAAACACAAACGATATGGAGAAGGACTGCACCGTTCCATTAGGCGACTCGTGGAGATGCAGTGGAGTCGGATGGAAGGCATGGCCTTTCAGCCGAACCATGCCATTGGTCAGCTCCAGGAGGCCGCTTGGCGTGACTCTGGCTCCACCATCAAGGGTGAGGTTGCTGCCGGTGAAACCGGAGTAGACAAATTGGTCAACAGCATCACTGCACCCTGCAAGAACTGCTAGCAGGCCGAACAGCATAATCTTCATGCTAGGCTTTTCTTCTACTTGCATATTATGGATCATGCAGTGTGGTTTGCAGTGCCACACTAACATGCATTCTCAATTTAATCTGGATCTAGGCTATTTATAATTAGTTATGGCTTGCTTGTCCAAATCCTCTGCATACTTTTCCTAGCCTCCTTCCTGTTTGTTTCCTACATGCCTACACCAAAGTATGCATCAAGCAATAAATGCTGAAAATGACATGCTTATTTGAATTAATAATGGAAAATATATTTATTTGTCTGGGCCACTAAGAAACAAATTAAGGTGCATGAGATTATACATCTGTACTTGTTTGACGTATGAATGACCAGAGGGTTAGTTCTAGACTGCTAGGTTGCTACATAATTTTGGCTTTGTTTACATCTGACAATAAATTTGACGCTGACCATATTGAAGCTCCTATAAAATTCTAGCAGACATCACATCATTTGTTTATTAAACATTTCTTTCAATCACGTAATTTTTCATTGGTGCCTACTAATAGTCAACCCACTCCTTTGGTCATAGTATAGCAGCTAACAAGTGGTATGAACAAAACATTGGCCAATGGGATATCTCAACAGTCTGAATATTAATACAGAAGCTATATTTTTCTGAACTTGGAGGCGGCATCCTTGACTGGGAATCAAGTTTCAACCCAGTGATGTAAGTAGCAAAGGTATGTTGTCTGACAAATTCCCAGTGCATTGATGACTTTGCATGGTCTGCCTTGTCTTCTCTGGACAAACAGAAAGTGACATCATTTTCTTTGCACACAGACCAACTAGTGATCTGTCGAAGCTATCCTTCTTGGGCTGTGTTTTCCCCTCTTGTTGAGAATGCCATTTGTTCTGGTGGAAGTCTGCAAGCTTGGTGTTTCATGCTGGTGTCAGGATGACATATGGACATTCTGAAATAAAATGAAGTCTCTGAATTCCACCTTTGTTCTGAACTTCTGATATTAGATTGACAGAAGTTGGTGTTAAATTTTCAGCCTGTTCTTTTTTCCTTCCAACTTTCAGGGATTGGTGTAGCTATATTCCTTGAGGAATCTTGAATCTGTCTTTGAAGGCTTGAAGCTGTGTAAGACTGCATTGTCGATTCGGCAAACTTCTGGGCCCTTGGTCTTTGAATCTGTCTTGAGGAATCGCTGATCTGCAACTACCTGGGTCCATGATGGATGTGTAGAGAGAAGCAGTGTCGGTCGATCTGGGCTGAGCCTGCTTCAATGTTTTAATTGGCTTCTTTTTTCCAGACAGACATCAATTGCAGTGACAGGTAACAACTCAAGTAAATATTTCAGTTTTTGCTGACAATGGAAGTCACGACTTTACATGCTACCCACTGATGACTGATCCACATAGCTTTGCAGTTCACAAACCTCCATCTATATTCACCATAGAATCAATCCAATCACAGTAACTTGCACAGATTTACAGTTAATCAAAATACACTGCACTTCTACAAGTAAGGTAAATCTAATGATACTACAACAAAGGACATTTTATAATTGCCTGTCATTTGCCTAAGCAGGCAAGCACTTGAAAGTTCTAACAAATGCATTATGTGCAGGTCTCATCTTCCAGACAAGATGTCTGGTGTCATTGTGCCCAAGCTATTCCCTGACCACGGGTACTGTGCGACGTATGGGTCGACCCCTTCATTGTGCATTATTGCCAGCAAGCTGGAGTTCAGGGTTGCCGGTGTAAACTCCGGCAGCGGTGCATCTCCATCAAGGTATTGCATGACCTGCCGCATGATAGGCCTTGCTCCGGGTATTGGGTGTGAGCACATCAGCCCAAGTGTCAACACCAGGCATGCCTCATCGACGTTGTAGATGCCGTGCAGCTTCGGGTCCACTGTCTCTGGCAGCGAACCCTGGTGCCAGTGCTGGAGAACCCAGTCAACCAACATCTTTCGGCCGTGGTGCGCACTGTTGCTGATCGGCCACCGGCCACAGGTGACCTCAAGAAGGAACGTGCCGAAGGCGAACACGTCGGTGAGAGGGGATGCCTTTCCTGTGCGTGCCAGCTCTGGGGCTATGAATCCCATGGTTCCAACCAGGTGCGTGGTCTGTGGGTTGGTGCCATGTTCATATAATCTTGCAAGACCAAAGTCGCCTAACCGGGCATTCATTTCACTATCCAGGAGCACGTTGCTTGCTTTGATGTCACGGTGGATGACAACCTTGTCCCACTTCTCATGGAGGTAGAATAAGCCAGAAGCCACGTCTTTGATGATTTGCATCCTCTGAGCCCAATTTAAAACAGGTTTGTTGTCTTCACCATATAGATACTTGTCAAGGCTACCATTTGGCATATAGTCATACACTAGTAGGAGTTCGCCCTTTCGTCGACAATAACCAAGTAGCTGCACAAGGTTGCGGTGCCGAAGGTGACCAATGCTAACAACCTCAGAGATAAACTCTTTCATCCCTTGGTTTGAACCATGTGATACCTTTTTCACAGCAACCTCAAGTTTGGATGTCCGAAGCACTCCTTTGTACACTTTTCCGAACCCTCCCACGCCGAGTATGTGCTTACTCTTGAAACCTTCTGTGGCATTGAACAGATCCTTGTATGAGAACCGGTGTGGCCCGAACTCGACCTCCCAATCTTCCCTTAATTCCGCATATCTCTGCTGCCTCCTCACAAGTATCATGACTACAATGAAGATCAATGCTACAGCGACAATTGGCAATAGGATCTGCAAGATCTTCTGCAACCTATTATCTCCAGGGCAAGGGAGCCTCGGCAACCTGGAGATTTCAATAGGCGGAGCAGGAGCATTCATAGCGAAGCTCCATCCAAGCACGTAGTAATGTGAGGTGAGCGGACCTGTTGCTGCCGAGAAGCCAATGTATGCTTGGTCAGTGAGCACTGTGGATAGGTTGAAGGGGACTGAGAGCAGTGGCCGTGTAGGTTTGGTCACTTTGATGGGAGCCAAAGTGACATTGATCTGTGTGGTCTCTCCATCGTAGTCCACCCACACTTGGACCGGCTTGCAGTTGCTGCCCGTGAGGGTCAGGTTCTTCAAGAGCCCACCATGCTGGTCATTGTAGAAGCCGATGTGTTGGGATTTCTTGGAGTGGAGGCTGTTGATGTCGATGCCGACGTGGTAGCCATCGATATCGTCCAACTCGGTGTTCTGGGCGGTGTCGATTTCCACGGCGAACATGTGGTTGCTTGTGCTGTTGTCGCTGCTGATGTTGAGGAGGCCCAAGAACTGCGCCGCCTTGGCATCGGGGAAGCCCTTGTTTGGGGCGACGACGAAGGCCATGCCGTCGGTGCTCGCATCGGAGTACGGGGAGATGATGCCGAACATGAAGGCCACGGAGAAGGATTGGACTATGCCATTCGATTGCTTCTTGAACCGGAGCGGAGTTGGGTAGAATGCGTGGCCTTGGATATTGGGCATGCTGTCTGTCAGCTGAAGGAGCCCTGTGGTGGTGACCATGGCTGAGCCATCGAGGGTGAGGTTGGCTGCGCCGGTGCTGGCAAAGCCGGAGTAGACAAAGCTCTCTTCGCCGGAGCTGGCGCAGAAGGGCCCAAGAAAGCTAACATAGAGGATAAAAACAGCACTGAAGAGCACAGGCTGATTCTCCATGTGTAGCTTGTGAAGAACCAAAGAATTGAGATGCCAAAAGGTACAAAGGTGTTTAGGACTTGGCTGTACCGGGAGCAGTCCAGGTTTCACTCTTATCATATATGAAGCTAAACTGCACGAATCTTCTGCATAGTCTTCAATTCCTTTCCTGTCCTTGTCTGAAAGTGATACAGCCAGGCTAACATGCAAACTACCAAGTTGTTCTTTTGTTTGCTCGGTCAAACATCTCACTATCTCAGAGCTTATCCTCATTTTAACCCAAGTTTTACTTTTCTTTGAAATTGACCTCAAGTTTGTTCCTTACAAAATTTTCTCTAACTTCTGATAAAATGCAGACACCAGGTAATTGTGGTCAGTAAAATAAGGACCGGCTGACTTACAATTAGCTAGGGAACAAAATGATCAGACCGATTTTCTCCTTCCATACGCTCATTTGCGGGAAAAAAAAATGATCAGACAGAGACCAAAAGTTGCCTTAAAGCTAGCCCCTATCCAAAATCATTTAAAAGAAATGCTCAAATTTTGTTAAATTTACCTGTCCATTGCATATATAATTGATAGTTTGATTTGGACTTCATGCATAAATTCCTTGTTGAAAAAGGACATGGTATGAGGTGTACATGTTGATCACTACTGGGGATATGAATTGACAAGGAAATTATATAATATCATGGTAGAGGCCAATAAGCCAATATCTAGAGATTTGGTATGAGTTCGAAGAAAATGCCCTTAAGACTTTCTGAATACAACTAACCATCCTTAGCAAGCTCAACTATTCTTTTTCTTGACTTAATCCATAACTAAGTCTTGTAACACGTGCTTATACACTATTTCACGTTAGAAGTTAATAATGCATTCTTAAGCATGCTTGGACTTATATATGGAAGGGTCATGATCTGACAGGATACAGCATGTCAAGTTTTGACCGTACATATTTACAATGTTTCCTTGCAAGAAAAATAGTATAAGAAATATTACTATATTAGCAATTTGAAGCACTGATACAAAGGTACAAATACTGCAATTTGATATGGTCATTGAAGGTCTATGATCTAAAGTTCAAAGATGTAACCGATCAATAGTTCATTTGGCAGTAGATTATACAACCCCAATTTTTAATAGATGATGCCAATAACTTTTGAACACATGTTTCACCATTTGTCTTGTTCAAAATATTTACCTAATTACCATTTATTTTGTTATGAGTTGTTTTATCACTAAAAGTGTACTTTAAGCATAACTTATATCTTATGCATTTGCACAAAATTTTTGAATAAGACAATGATCAAACGTGTGTCCAAAAATCAACGACATCATCTATTAAAAACGGAGGGAGTACAATGGTTAGCTAATAATAGTCGATTTGGTGTGAAATGCTGTGCTTTGACTCAATGTTCGTCATCGTTTCTACAGTTGGTTTCTTGTCTCCACCGACAGTGACTCATGTTTTGCTAAAATGCTGATAGTGGACCATTCTAATACCATTTTCTTTTGTAAAAAGATGCCACGAATAACTACACAAATATGGACTATGGCCAACTGGGCTTGCGCATCCTTATTTCTACTGATCAGTTCTCCTGTTTTTGTATTGGGCCTTTGAGAGTACATGATCTCTGTATTTACATTTAGTTTAGTAAAGAATAAAGATTAGATCTTAGTGATACATCTATGCAAGCTTGGAAACATGGCACCCTCATATTAGAATTCAGAGACTTAGGCCCCGTTCGATATCCCGTTATGGAGATGGATTTTTGTTCCACGTAGAACAAGAAACCTCATTAGCACATGATTAATTAAGTATTAACTATTATAAATTTGAAAAATGGATTTATTTGCTTTTTTTAAACAACTTCTATATAGAAACTTTTTTTTAAAAAAATACACCATTTAACAATTTAAAAAACGTGCTAATGGAAAACGAGGAAATTCAAGTTTGGGGTTGAAGAATAGAACTAGGCCTAAGAATTGATGCAATGTTATTGGGCCTGCTTCAATTTAGTTTCCATTTTATTCTACAAATATTCATGTTTAACTCCAGTAGAAAATGAATACTTTATGGTACACCAATTATCTTTCCATTAAATAACACATGACCGCAATATATAATATTTGCATTTAGTTTTTTTCAAAGCGAACTATTTATGGTAAACCAATTATATTTTTGCCTCCACTAGGGACATTCATGTTTAATTTTCTGGTGATCAATATAGCAATATGCAGTACAGTAATGTGCAGATACTGTTTGATTTATGTAGAACAGACAATATTGGCTTCATACCTTAACTGCTCAACTAAACAATTAGTAGTACATAATAGTTTGTAAATGTTTACCATGATACAAATAAAGCTGCTGCTAGGAGTAAATGGTAAAACTGGCATGCAGTAAGCCAAACAGTACACTGTTATTTAACAAGATTAAAGAAAGGAACTGTAATAATCTAAGCCCTGCCCCAACATTACATGACTCGGTACATAATATCACTGATGCCACACAAGTACACATGAAAGCACCAAGTTTATCATCTTCCTCCAGAGATGTTAGATATTGTGCCGACGCTAGTCCCTGGAGGAGGATATGATGATAGTGTATATGGGTTGAACCCTTCATCTTGCATCATGGAGATGATGCTGAAGCTCATATCCATTTGTGTTAGCTCAGGGAGTGGCACATCACCATCAAGGTATTGCATGACTTGCTGCATATTGGGCCTCATGTTGGTAAATGGATGTGAGCATAATAGACCTAACTTTAGCACAAAGCATGCTTCATCAATGTTGTAGTCGCCTTGCAGCCTTGCATCTACTGTATTTGTTAGCAATCCTTTTTGCCAATGCTCGAGTACCCAATCAACTAATACACCAGGACTGTCTTGTGAACTGTGGTTAACTGGCCTTTGCCCGCAGGTGACCTCAAGAAGGAATGCACCAAAGGCAAACACATCTGTGAGAGGGGATGCCTTACCTGTGCATACCAATTCTGGGGCGAGGTACCCCATTGTACCGACCACGTGTGTAGTTTGTAGGTCAGTGCCATGATCATATAGTCTTGCAAGGCCAAAGTCACCTAGCCTTCCATTCATTTCAGTATCGAGCAACACATTGCTTGCCTTGATATCCCGGTGGATGACAACTTTCTCCCACTTGTCGTGGAGATAGAACAATCCAGATGCAATACCCTTGATGATCCGAAAGCGTTGATCCCAACTCAATGTAGGTTTGAGCTCATTATTGTATAAATATGCATCAAGGCTACCATTTGGCATATAGTCATAAACTAAAAGTAATTCACCTTTTCTCCTACAATAGCCCAATAATTGAACAATATTGCGATGACGAATGCGGCCAATACTGACAACCTCAGCAACAAACTCCTTCATCCCTTGTCTAGACTCATGAGACACTCTCTTCACTGCGACCTCTAGTTTAGATGATGGAAGTACTCCTTTGTAGACCTTACCAAATCCTCCTGCACCAAGCAAGTTCTTATTGTCGAATCCATGTGTAGCGTGGAACAGATCCTTGTATGAAAATCGATGTGGTCCAAACTCAATCTCCCAATCTTCTTTTAGCTCTACATACCTCAATCGCCTCCGCACAATTGTAATAAATACACCACAAAAAAGAATCACAAATGTTGCACTGGCTATTGGTAGAGTGATTGCCAGGAGCTTTGGTTGAGGATTTGGGCCCTGACGAGGTAGTTTTGGTAGTTTGTTGACATTAATCATAGGAGCTGGTTTATTCATGCCAAAGCTCCAGCCAAGGATGTAGTGTCGTGAGTCAACTAAACCGGTTGATGCTGAGAATCCAATATACGATGGCTCTTTCAGCACTGTTGAGAGGTCATAGGATATCAAGATGAGTGGCCTCTTAGGTTTCGCCATTTTAATTGGAGCCATAGTCACACTGATTTTCTTGTCTTCTCCATTATAGTCCACCCATGCTTGCATTGCATCACCACTAATAAGACTCATGTTTTGAAAGCTACTATTTCTATCATCATAGTAGCCTGCAGAGTGGGATTTTATTGAGTGGAGGTCATTGATGTCAATGCCTACGTGGTTGTCATCGATGTCTTCAAACTCGATGTTCAAGATAGTGTCAAACTCAATAGCTAAGATATGGTTGCTTTTGCTGCCTCTGTTTTTAGAATTTAGCAAGCCCAAGTATTGGATAGCCAATGCATTGGAGAAATTTATGCTTGGGGAAACAACAAAGGCCAATCCATGTAGGCTCATTCTGGGATAGCTAGAGCGGATGGCAAACACGAATGAAACTGCGAAAGAATGTACTTTATTGTTGTGTGACTTGCGGAAGTGCAATGGAGATGGGTAGAATGCATGGCCTTTGCGATTAATTGTGCCATTGGTTAGCTCAAGTAGTCCGTTTGACGTGACTACAGTAGTATCATCAGTGATGAGGTTGGCACTAGTGAACCCAAGGTATAAGAGTTGATCATCACTTGTATTGGTGAAGGATGCACAGTTGATGCCAAAGGAAACGAGTAAGAAAAGAAAGAAAAACTTTGTGTGAGATGTTTGCCTAACCTGAACAAAAAGATCAAGGAAGATGCATGGGTGGAGCACTTCATAAGCCATGTTCCTTTTGTGGTTTTAGATAACACACTGTTGGGAAATTTATATTAATTTACAGCTAGGGCAAGTCCTGTTGCCTTGCTCTTATTTCCACAAGTGTCTTTGTCTGAAAGAGTTGGTACTTTATATTGAGAAAGTGATTTTTATGCGTATTGATTAAAATATGTTCTTTCCCTAAAAAGTTAGATGAGTGATAAATGTGAAAACAACCATCTTATGTACGGAATGGTTGTCACTTGTCAAAAGTTTTTTCAAACTTTATATATACTTTAAAGGACTTTACTCTCTTGTAAAGAAAGTGAGGTTCTAAGTTGCAAATATTGGAATATAAAAAATAAAGTATTCATTTTTAATGATGAAAAAAATGTGTATGATTGGCTTAATTAATATCTACCATCAGATACCTCCAATTTTTTCTATGTAAATATTACCTGCCATGCAAGAAACTTGATTGTGACACGAGAAGGTGAAAATTTTATAGTATTTATTATACTATGCATTAGGAGAATCGTTTGTGTCAAATCATGTGCCAGATTTCTTATGTGTGCTTGACATAGGTTCCCAGTTGCCTGTGCAATCAATACTTACCTCTTATTTGTTTTGACGAAGACTCTGGTATATATGTGCCTTCCTATAATATTGTTTGTAGTAATCTAACAACTATCTTTTAACTTTTACCAAAATGTTGTGTTTTATGGAGATTACCTGTAGTCACCGTAATCAAGTTACACTCAATCAGTTTCATGATGACATTGATGTTTGCCCCTATGACAATCAAGAAATTCATATCAAAACATTCATAGAAGAATTTGTTATTCAGATAAATACCTTGGAATTAAACATCATTTAAAAAAATATATAATGATATAAACACCTCACTAAAAACACCAAAACGTCTCTAGGATTCAAACATACAGGGACAAGTTTCAGAAAATCTAATGGTTATTAGCTGATAACCACTCTGTTTCAAAATTGACTCCTTTTTCCAAATGGTTGGAGCTGATATTCTGAGCCTGCATAGATCATATATATCTCACGAGAAATATCTGATAAATTTGGTAAAAATTACTAATCTCTTTAAAATAAAAGCGAGACTTTGAATGCATAATATATGGCTCAAATTAATAGGCTGCAAAATGGGTTGATCTTGATTTTGTATCTTGCTTACTCTGCCATTTATGAAGGTGAATGCACAGATGGATTACACCCTTCTTTGTAAGGCAATCAGATACAAACAAATACGCTGATCCACCACGAAAGACATGGCAAACAATATCCACAATGTTCTTCTGCAAATGGAGAAAATTCAGACAAAACCATCTAAAAGATCTTTCTCTGAATATTTACAGTCTTACTATTCAAAATTCAAAATAATATACAATACATTGCTATTAGCTAGTTTGTTTACCATATATTATAGATCTTCGACCGAAACTTCAACACATTTATTTCTCTAAGTTGGACTGGCGTTCCTTACGAAAAAGAAAAACATAATGCACATATGTACTAATTAAATATGAAAGTATGCAAAGCCTTGGTAAAACACCTACTATGGAGATCAACTTATGCAACCGAAACAGGTTGGTTTCATTGTTTAGCTTTTTTTTTTTTTTGCCGGGTTGGCTAAGAAAAAGCTGACCAAATTTCATTAAGGTTTAAGGAGAGTGTTACAAAGTTGATCATGAAATTAGACTGTCGAGTTGGGGAGAGGATCCCCAAAGAAATAGAGGGAGGAAAAAAGAAAAAAAATATTTAAAAGGGCTACTCCTCTCATGATTGAAATATGCCAGCTGATCTCCAAATTGAAATTTCCTCTTTGATATCTGCAGTAAGGTGCTCCACCACCTTGAAATTTTGATCCAAGACTCTTGCATTGTGTTCCTTCCAAACTAGCCAACACACCAGCATAAACACAGATTCGGAGAAGAACACTTTCCTGTAGCTCGTCCGAAAACAGCAGTGGACATACTGCCACCACTCTGCCAGCTGCAAGCCTTGCTGCCTCAGGGGGTTGAAGGCCACGTTAATCTAATCCCGCAGCATTGACCTTGTTTAGCTCTTGCAATTGCATTGAGGTAACTAGGCATCCCACATCTAATTACAACCCCATTTTATTTATATATGACAGGAAATCATATGCTAATGTAAAACGAAGACTCGAAAATACAGAGATGAATTAAATATCATAGGGAGACCATGTATGAGATCTAACTTCTGAGAGGTCAGATAGTGTGCTGTTTGATATTAGAAACTGGTTTGTCATGGTCTCTGGATCAAAACCTTGGTTCTGCATCAAGGAGAGCATGTTGAAGCTCATGTGTGTTGGTGTTAGCTCTGGTAGTTCCATCTCTCTATTGAGAATCTGCGTAACATGCCTCATGCTGGGTCTTTTATTGATGAAAGGGTGTGCACACAGCAGTCCTAACTTCAGAGCTAGGCACGCCTCATCAATATTGTAGACACCTTGGAGTTTGATATCCACTGCATCATTTAGAAATCCTTGGTGCCAACAATGAAGCACCCAATCTACCAACATCAGTTGATTGTCTTGTGCAGTGTGGTCAATCGGCTTTCGCCCACAGGTGACTTCAAGAACAAACATGCCAAAGGCAAATACATCGGTAAGGGGAGTTGCTTTGCTAGTTCGTGCTAGCTCAGGAGCTAGGTATCCTATGGTACCAACAACATGTGTGGTTTGAGGGTCGGTTCCATGGTCATATAACCTTGCTAGGCCAAAATCGCCTAGTCGTCCATTCATGTTGTCATCGAGAAGTATATTGCTTGGCTTGATGTCTCGATGGAGTATTACTTTCTCCCATTCCTCATGGAGATAAAGCAATCCAGATGCAATATCTTTTATTATTTGGAATCTTTGGGCCCATGTCAAAGTAGAATTGTTCTCTTGACCATACAAATGCTTGTCAAGACTTCCATTGGACATATAATCATACACTAAAATAAGTTCACTTTTTCGCCGGCAGTAGCCATGTAACTGCACAAGATTGCGGTGTTGGAGGTGACCTATACTGACTATCTCAGCAACAAATTCCTTCATACCCTGGTTGGAGTCATGAGAGATCCTCTTCACAGCAATCTCCAATTTAGACGTTGGAAGTAGTCCCTTGTATACCCTTCCAAACCCTCCTATTCCTAGTAGATTCTTGTTCTTAAATCCTTCCGTAGCACAAAACAAATCCTTATATGAGAATCTATGCGGCCCAAATTCAACTTCCCAATCTTCTCGTATCTCAGCATACCTTAATCTCCTTCGGATGAGTAGAATGATGAGAGCTATCATTGCAAGAACAAATGTTGCTGTGGCTATTGGCAGAGTGATTTCCAAGACCTTGGAATGGGTTTTCTCACCTTCATAAGGTAGCTTTGGCAACTTACTGATATCAATGGCTGGTGCAGGTTTATTGATGCCAAAACTCCAGCCAAGCACATAATGCCGCGCAACGAATGAGCCTGTTGATGATGAGAATCCAACATATGCCATGTCTGTGAGCACTGTTGAGAGGTCATAGTAGGTAGAGAGTAATGGCTTAACAGGCTTGGCCATTTTTATTGGAGCTAAGGTCACATTGATCTGTCTGTTGTCCCCATTGTATTCTAGCCACACTTGCATCATCTTGTAACTAGTGAGTGTAATGTTGTTGAAGTTACCATTACTGTCTGTGTAGTATCCCACGCTGCTGGAGTTCAGTGATGTAAGACTGTTGATGTCGATTCCAACATGGTTGTTATTGACATCGTTGAACTCATCATTTTGGTTCGTGTCGAGCTCGATAGCGAAGAAATGGTTTGTTGGATCGCCGTTGTTGTGGTCATTTATAAGGCCAAGGTACTGGCTTGCCATTGCGGTTGAGAAGTTTTTGCTCACGGAAACAACAAAAGCTATGCCATGGCCGCAGATGACAGGCCGGAGACAGTAGATGGCAAATATGTAGGAGACAGCAAAGGAATTCACTGTTCCATTGGGTTTCTTCTTGAAACTGAATGGAGTTGGGTGAAAGGCATGGCCTTGGAGCCGTAAGGTTCCGTTGGTCAACTTAAGCAGGCCATCTGGTGTTACCGAGGCCACGCCGTCGAGGGTGAGGTTAGCACCATTGAAGCCAGAGTATATGAATTGGTCTTCACCGGTGGCGAGAGCTGAAAGATTAGAGATGAAGAGGAAGAAGAACTGTAGAAGATAGGATAAATGATTCATGGCAGCATGAGCTTCAGTGACCCAATGAAAATGCAAGAAAAGCTTCACTAGTACTGAATCTTGCTCTCCATTTGGCACTTTATATTTTGCATTTGCCTAGGCCGTAGGTATGGCTTGGTTTTATGGGAGTCGTCTACTATCTGCTTTTTCCCATAGGTGTTATGATCTGGGACAAGTAATTAGGTATACTGAAAACGAAATTTGTTTGGACAGGGTCTCCTAAAGGATCCTCTGAAGTCTGAACAAGAATAATTATCTACAGGTTGCAGAGCGTCCAAAATTAATAGAGTACTAATAATTTCAGGGGAAATTCAGGTTATTGCCTTTAATGTTTCCTGTCACTCACATTTTTTTTAACCATTCTCGAACTGGATTTTCTGAATAAATTGTACTGCATGCTTGCTCTTATTTTTCAAGTTTGTTTTCATTCAATGATGTATTGCTCCCTCAGTAGTTAATTGCCTTATAAAATAAAAAAATAAAGAACCTGTTGCAAAAGGAACACTTTCTACTACTTAAAATTAGCTGCCTCTCTCCTTTTCATCTCTGCATCTTTTTCAGACCAGTCTAGGCACTTGCATCAGGGGGCCTCCTTGAAACTGTTATTAATTTTGAGCCATTTGATTGAGAAAGGCTGGTATCGTAAGCAAAGGGCTGAACTCAAAATAGGAGAATTTTCCCATTCATTTATTAAAAGAAGGGCAAATAATGAACAGCAATAAAAGTTTTATTATTAATGCTGTTGTGGACGGCTTCTTCGACCTCAGGCCTACCAAATAAGAACATGATTAATGAATGCTATGTTGAGTGTATGAACAAATATTTCTTAGTTATGACTGTTGAAGCTTGCCTAGGATTCAAGGAACCTGATGTGTAGGCTAGTTATCACAAGTGTTGTCTGTGCTACCAAATTAAATTGTGACAGCATCTTTGACAGGGATATTGACCTCTTAAACAATCTGTAGTAACATCATCATGCTCATATAGTCTTGACTGAATTGACCCAAGTTTAATTACCCAAGGCAGAGGGATCTAAGGATCGAAGTTAATTTAGTCTGTTTGCCCATTGCGTCTGCAATGGGTTTTCATTTGGTCCCAAAGACTGATGACTTTCAATTAAATCTTTGGTTTTTTTTCTATTAATTACATGTAACCGCATGTATAGTCTTTTTTTTTTTTAAAAAAAAAACTTACATGTCTAGTTATGAATCTTTAGAGAAGCACTTTTTAAATTTTGTATGTTTAAATTTGACAAGTTTAAGCTAGGCTAAAACTATGTCTATATTCAGTTTTTTTACCAATATATCAATATTCAGTTATGTAGAAATATCTTCAGGATGTCAATATTCTGAATTACACAGACATGGTTTTAGATGTAATATCCAGGAAGTGAAGAGCTGAATTCACCTACAAGCTGGGAGTTCTTTGATATGCCAAAGTGATATCTGAATCAGCAGGCATCAGGGATGCAGTATTGTGCTGCATACATGCCCACTGAAACCCATTAGCTCTCCAGATTGATGATTTTCAGAGTTCAGAGTGCTGAAAATATACACTTTGATTTTTTACCCCAGTGGAGCAGGCAGAGAGAGCAACAATATTATCATAATCTAGAGAGAGAGAGAGAGAGAGAGAGAGAGTAGGGACGTTACAGTAGTATATATTTAGTTGAAAATATGAATCACAGCATTATATATCTGATTAATATCTCATATATCTGCATCTGCAGTGCACATAAGGATATAAGATTTGCAGTTTACCTAGTAGTACTTGAACTTGAAATATATACAAGTAGGAAGTACTTACAAGATCTAACAGCAGAACCCTTGCATAAGAGGTAAATGTGTTGAAAAAAGAGAACTGATAAAAAAAAACAGAGAATTGGTGAATGTAATATGTGTTGTTTGCATGGCCCTTGGAGACTCCAACTATATATGCTATCTTCCACTTGAGATGCTAGATGTTATGTCACTGCTGCTTGCTATGGAAGGCAATGATGTATATTGCTCGAAACCTTTGTTCTGCATTACAGCCAACATGCTGTAACTCAAGTTTGTTGGCATCAACTCTGGGAGTGGTTTGTCACCATCAAGGTATTGCATGACTTGCCGCATACTGGGCCTTGATTTGCAAAATGGATGTGCACACAGTAAACCCAGCTTTAACACAAGACATACCTCATCTGCATCATAGTCACCAAGTAACCGCTTGTCTAGCATGTTTGTGAGTGATCCTTTGTGCCAATGCTCAACAACACAATCAATTAACATTTGTGAATTGTCATCTGCATAATTGTCAATAGGTCTTTGCCCACATGTTACCTCAAGGATAAAAATGCCAAAAGCATACACATCTGTTAGAGGTGTTGCCTTACCGGTACGTGCGAGCTCTGGAGCTAGGTATCCCATAGTACCGACTACATGCGTTGTTTGCGGGTCTGCTCCATGGTCATATAACTTTGCAAGGCCAAAATCACCTAGGCGACCGTTCATTTCACCATCAAGGAGCACATTACTTGCTTTAACATCACGGTGGATGACAATTTTTTCCCACCTATCATGAAGGTAAAACAAGCCAGATGCAACACCTTTGATGATTTGAAACCTCTGAGCCCAATCAAGCGTAGGTTTGCTATCTTCGCAGTACAAGTACTTATCAAGACTACCATTCGGCATATATTCATATACCAATAATAGTTCACCTTTTCTCCTGCAATAACCAAGTAACTGCACGAGATTGCGATGTCGAAGGCGGCCGATACTAACAATCTCAGCGATAAACTCCTTCATTCCTTGCTTTGAATCATGGGACACCCTTTTCACAGCAACATGCAACTTAGAAGTTGGAAGCACACCTTTATACACCTTCCCAAATCCTCCTAGACCAAGTAGATTCCTATTCTTAAATCCGTCTGTAGCATGAAACAGATCCTTATATGAGAAGCGGTGTGGCCCAAACTCAGCCTCCCAATCTTCATGTAGCTCAGCGTACCTCATTCGCCTCCGTACCAAAAGAACAATGGTGGTTCCCACTATGAGAATGAATGTTGCTGTGGCAATTGGTAGAATGATCTCTAGTAGTTTAGTCCGTGGTTTTGGGCTAACACGAGGTAGTTTTGGTAATTTGGATAAGTCAATGGCTGGGGCAGGACGGTTTATACCCAAGCTCAATCCGAGCACACAATATAATGTGTTGATTGGACCAGTTGAAGCTGAGAAGCCGATATAGGATGGTTCTTCTAGCACAAGTGAGAGGTTATGAATTTCTGACAACAGTGGCCTCAATGGTTTGCCTACCTCAATGGGAGCCATGGTCACCTTGATCTGTGTGGTGTCTTCGTTGTAGTCAACCCATACTTGCATTGGCTTGTAGCTACAGAGGGACAAATTGTTGAAGATACTCTTGTTATCACTATAGAAACCAGCTGGCCGAGATTGAACTGAGGTGAGATTGTTGATGTCGATGCCAACGTGGTTGTCGTCGATGTCGTGGAACTCGGTATTTTGGCTACTATCAAGCTCGACTGCAAAAATGTGGTTGCTTGCTTTTCCATCTGATGTTTTGTTGAGTAGACCCAAGTATTGGGAGTCCTGAGCACTTGACATATCACTGGTTGGAGAGATCACGAAAGTCATGCCATCGGTACATTTTTCATTAGAGTAGACAGGAATCATGCCAAACACAAAGTTAATTGAGAAGGATTGCACCGTCCCGTTGGGCGTCTTCCTGAATTGCCATGGAGTTGGGTAGAACGCATGGCCTTTGATGTGGACGGTGCGATTGGTCAGCTCAAGAACCCCATCATCTGTAACTGTTGCTGCACCATCAAGGGTGAGGTTTCTGCCGGAGAAGCCCGAATAGACGAACTGGTCCTCGCTCATGGTGATGGCAAGGTTTAGGGCTAGGGCGATGAAGGGTAAAAGGAGGGACAGATGCTCCATATGAGGTATGTTTGCTACTTGTAAAACCTCAACAAGAGCAGAATTGGAAATGGGGTGTTCTCCTAGACCTTGAGGCTTGAGAGGTGCTTTGTGTTGTTACTCTACTTTCAAGTACATGATTTATTTGTATTATGAGCAATTCTTGACCGGTCATGCCTCCGACGCACAAGTCAATTGTCTATGTAGTTTTTTCAAGTTTGTCATTGTCTTCAAACGATCTAGGCTGCGAGCCTTTCATGAAAGCCAAGTCATTTGTCTACACTGAGAAATTATTTGTTCAATCATCTATGTGAAATTAATTTAGGAAATATTTTTACAGAGTACTATCAAGTTTCTGAATTTCCCATGTTGTATGTCTGAACAACTTAAAGTGTTAACTCTTTAGCATTCAAATATATCAGTTTATTGCTACAAAATTCCAGATGAAAATAATTATGCCTCCTTTTTGTATAACATGACTGGCTTTGGCATATCTTATTTCTAAATGATATATCAAATACCAAAAGAACATTTACTAGTAGAAGTGAAGGAAAAGATCATAACTAGCTATTTGAATATACTATGTAGCAGAGCATTCTAGAAAGAAATAAGATGCATACAACACTATTCACTTAAGAATCGGACAACATTCTACATGTCAACAATATTTTTTTTTCAATCGCTCCACTTTCATTTTGAACTGATCAAGTCAGTTTTGCTCCTATGTTTTGGCATTCCCTTTGTTGAATGGAGCTATTCCTAGCTATAGTCAAGGTAGGAAAAACTTCAGTAGAATTATGTGGTTTAGTTAAGCTCAGCTCCATTCAGAAGATTCCTTCTGTCACTGCCGGCCAAATTCAGTTTGTTATATTTGGTCAATTTTGTGTACACACCTGGCGTTCAATTTAGTTTTCACTATGGTACAGAAGATTCCTTCGTCACTGCCGGCCAAATTCAGTTTGTTATATATTTCGTCAATTTTGTGTACACCTGGCGTTCAATTTAGTTTTCACTATGGTACATTTGTCAATTGAAGGACAATAATTCCTGTCCACATGGAACAGTGGATGTGGAATATATTGTATGGATGGGATCTTTTTTTTGTTTGCTTTTTTTTTTTGGTTGGTAGATTTTTTTTTAATTGTTATAGATAGCTTGTGGTCAGGGATATGCGCAATATTTACTGGTGTTGTAGAATTCTAACAGTCAAAATCAAAATCTGTAGAATTGCTATCCTTCTAATATATTCGGCAATTCTTTTGCCGCTTCCACTTTAAAAAAACCTGTAGAATTACCATTCAACTACTCTGTAAATTTTTAATGCTCAAAGTCAAAATCAAACTCTTATTCTCATCTAATGGTTGTAGAAACTTGCAGTCCTGGAGATGAGGCATCAATAAAAATTCACCTGAATAGGACAGGCATGGACAATTTATGGAAAATTGAAGGAAATTCTCTTCTCATGATGCAACTGGTGACACTGATGCTTGGTAACCATCATTATTGAACAGTCACCATGGCAGGCCAAGCTTGCTCGATCAACATCCAAGTCATACTGGTGCTGGGTTGTAACTACTTACCACCCATAACCATTTTTTAAAGAAATTAAATTCAAATAGTTTTGTTTTACCATTTGATGTATTTTTATAAAATTTAAACTTCTGGGCGTTGCCTGTCGGTATTCTCTAAGAAAATAAATTTGAATATCCGTCTGATAAAACCAGTAAACCACCTGGCGGTTGCGGGACTGGCAGTGTTTGCCAAGATTTATAGCAAAATCCATATAGTAATGATGAAAACTTATAAATTTTCATTAATTAAGGGAAATGGAGAAGGATATGCTACTTATTTTGGTGGGAATAGATTATGATATATGCTGTAAAATATAAGAGGAAAATGCTCTTATATTACTCCCTGAATTCACTTTACAAAAGATAATAAGAGTTCAATCTAATAGCACCGAACAACTAGATTGAGTACCAATGGTCTAGATCTAATGTCCTCAGCCTATTTCCGTTACACCATCCTCTCTCTCATGCTCCCAATATTTGATCACATCCTTCCTTCATCCCCCTTGTGATTCCTGAGATAAGCTCAATGGGCACTATGTATATTTATAGCATTTATCACTGGCTTACAAGTTACAACTCTGGTACTTAAATAGCAGTGGTATCAGCCACTATTTGCAACCAAATCACAGTAGCAGCTGCTATCGAGGGCACATGGGCAGGATACACAGAGGATTACTTTAGTGGCAGTGTGTTGTGAAGTGTATAATGTACATGCTTGCATCCAAGGACTCGCAAAACCAACATTAGAAAAAATTTCAAGAAACAAGGGATATGATTGATGAAACTGAACGGTAAAGGGAACCCTTAAAATGTATCACAATTTTATCCGCTTTACTGATAAGAGCAACCCATTACATTTACATCAGAATACAGGCTACAAGTGCACAGCTAGTGAAAGCCATTAAGCAAGAACATTGAATCAAGCCATGGGCATCATCTTCCTTCTAGTGAGAAGCTAGATGTTGAGCCAAAGCTTGTCATCATTGGAGATGGATACAAAGACATAGCAGATGGGTCGTAACCTTCATTTTGCTTTTGTATCAATGCTAACATGTCAAAGCTGAAGTGCTCCGGTTTAAGCTCTGGTAGTGGCACATCCCCATCGAGATATTGCATAACTTGTCGCACATTGGGCCTAACATTAGGAAATGGGTGCGAACACATCAATCCCAGCTTTAGTACAAGACATGCTTCTCCTATATCATAGTTACCTTGGATCTTGATATCCATTGTATCAAGAAGTGATCCTTTGTGCCAGTTCTGAAGCACCCAATCAACCAAGATAAGTTGTCTGCCTTGTGAGTCTTCCTTGATAGGCTTTTGCCCACAAGTAACCTCAAGAATAAATATGCCAAATGAGAAGACATCAGTAAGAGTGGTTGCCTTTCCTCTGTGTACTAGCTCTGGAGCTAGGTATCCTATCGTGCCAACAACATGTGTGGTTTGTGGGTCAGTTCCATGGTCATATAATCTTGCAAGACCGAAATCTCCCAGTCGTCCATTCAGTTGTTTGTCGAGAAGCACATTGCTTGCCTTGACATCACGATGAATGACAACTTTATCCCATTCTTCATGGAGGTAGAGCAAACCAGATGCAATGTCTTTGATAATTTGAAACCTTTGTCCCCAATTTAAAGTTGGTTTGCCCTCTTGTCGATGCAAGTATTTGTCTAGACTTCCATTTGCCATGTAGTCATACACAAGAAGAAGTTCACCTTTTCTCCTACAATATCCAAGCAATTTCACAACATTGCGGTGTTGAAGATGGCCTATACTTACAACTTCAGCGACAAATTCTTTTATACCTTGCTTCGATTCATACGAAACCCGCTTTATAGCAACCTCTAGTCTAGAGTTAGGAAGCACCCCTTTGTACACCCTTCCAAACCCACCTGTGCCTACCAAGTTTTTGTTCTTAAATCCTTTAGTGGCATCAAATAAATCTTTGTAAGCGAAACGGTGCGGGCCATACTCAACCTCCCAATCTTCACGTACCTCCTTATACCTTAAATGTCTCCTCACGAGTAAAACAATAGCAACACCAATAGCTAGTACGAATATTGCTGATGCTATTGGTAGAACAATCTCTAAGAGTTTGGATTGAGGTCTTGGACTAAGATTAGGCAGTTTAGGTAGCTTTGTGGGGTCAATGATTGGAGCAGGAATATTCAGCCCAAAACTCCAACCAAGAACATAGTGATGTCCTGTGCTTAAGCCTGTTGAGGATGAGAAGCCAAGGTATGCTTGATCTGTTAGCACTGTTGAGAGGTTATGGACTACAGAGAGTAGTGGTCTCTTAGGTCTTCCAATACCAAGAGGAGCTAATGTCACATCAATTTGTGTGGCATTCCCATCATACTCTACCCAAACTTGCATTGGCTTATCTCCAATGAGGCTCACGTTTGTGAGCGCGCCATTGTTGTCATTATAGAAGCCGACATAAGAGGATCTTACTGAGTTGAGACTGTTGATATCAATCCCGACATGATTATTGTCGATGTCCCCGAACTCATCATTCCTAATGGTATCAAGCTCAATTGCAAAGAGGTGATTGGTCGAACTGCCATTGTTTATATCATTAAGAAGACCCAAAAATTGGATTGGAAAGGCAGTGGAGAAATCATTGCTTGGGGCAATGAAGAAAGCAAATCCATGGCCTCTTATATCACCAAATGAAGAGAGAATACCAAATACAAAGGAGACAGAGAAAGATTGCACCGTGCCATTGGGGGACTTGCGGAAGCATAGCGGAGCTGGGTGAGATGCATGGCCTTTGATCCGGAATGTATCATTTGTCAGCCCAAGAAGGCCGGTGGCTGTGATTTTTGCTGCACCATCTAGAGTTAGATTGCTACCGGTGAAGCCGGTGTAGATGAATTGGTCATGATCTCCACTAGCACTGATGGCTAAAAGGCTAATGCTTATGGTAAGGAAGAGGATGATAGGCAAAGTATACTGCTTCATGCTAGCTAGACATATACAGTTGTGACAAATTGGTTAATGTAAATATGTCTTGCATTGCATCCATTTATAGGGTTCACATCTCGCAAGCTAGGTTGTGGCCTAGTCAGTTGGAGCATGTCCATCTCAGCATGGAAAATTCTAGGATTCAGGCTAAAGACATGGTAGAAGCAGCCGGTAATTTACATGTCTTGGCTACCATGAAGTCCAACAACATCGACATCAGGTGTTTGCTATTTTCTCGGAGGAAAAAGTCGCATCACTCCCATCTTGAAAAATGAAGATTTCACTTTCAGACTATATGATGCCAGCATAGACTATATTATTGCAGGTGAAGAAATAGACCGTAGTTTACAAGTCGTGAGATCCTTTTCTTTACTCTCACAATGTTAGTTTTGTATAATCTTTGTAAGTACATTCAACATCCCTATTATTAGGACTTTCTGTTATTATAATAGGATTTATACATGATATTATATGGAGTATACATTAGTTTGACTTTGAATTGTTCTTAGAACTCAGAAGAAAACTTTGAATGCAGCCTTTTGAAAATGCTAACGATTTGCATTAAGGCTACATTCAGAAGGCTCTTATAATGCAAATAATGCAAATAGTTAGCATTTTCAGCTGTGTTCGGCTCTTACACTTTCTCAACATCTATTTTGTGAAATCATTATCATGATTAATATTTATGATGAATAATTGGCTATGCAAATGATTTAATCAAAGAATTGGTTTGAGAATTTGTGTGAATGTTGGTGTGAGTGCGTGTGACTAATGTGGGTCAGGTTGTGATATCTGTGCCCAGAAACGGTTGTTTTGTCTGATTATGTGCAGGTGACTTGAGGTCAGCCTTGGTCAATGGTGAGGACCGGGACTATGTTCAGGGAGGAACAGAGGTCTAGTGCGGTCGGGATACCATGTGAGAAGGTGACTAGAGTCAGGATTCTTGGAGGTCAACTTCGGTCAACGGTGGGGATCGTGACTAAACTCAAGGAGGAGTTGAGGTCCAGACGGTCAAGGATACCGGGTGACGAAGTTGGATACGATATGGCACACGGTGGATGGACATCGTGTGGGAGAGATTTTTGCAACGGGCTTCACGAGGTGTGCGTGCAAGCGTCGGTGTTTGCGAAGGAGATTGGTGTGAGAAATTGAGGAAGAGTATATGGTGCTACAGTACATGTGGTGCTGTAGCATGCATATATGTGTGTGCAGTACGTGTATGTGTATGCGTATTGTGTGGGCTAGCAGGCATGTATGTACGTGTGGTTGTACATGTGCAGCTAGTTGGTTAGCATGCATGTGATGCATGCGTGTGTTGATGAGATTGGTTGAGCAGGCCGAAGCAGCCGCGGCGTGGACGTGTGTTGGCTCGGTGGTGACAAGCCGACTCGGCTCAGGCAGCAAGCAGCAGCAGCGTAGGCAGGAGGAGGAGTCCGGCTCGGTTGGCGGCTGAAGTTTGGGCTGTGCGAGTTTTGGTAAATTGTAAAAGGTTTGGAAATTGTGGATTGAGTCCTACTGTGAATAGGAGTTCTACACCTACTTTGAGTAGGGGTTTTTGTGGTATAAATAGAGAGGGAGCGTGAGGCTTCCCGGTATCGCTTTTCAGAGCGTGGAGTTGATAGTTTAGTTAGGGTTTCGAGTTTAGTCGAGATTTTTGTAAGGAGTGCTGTTGTTGCACTTCGTAAACACAGAGAGAAGCAATAAAGTTGTCATCTACTTTGAGAGTTTTTCGATTTGTGTTTCACCGGGTTTCGGCGGTATAACCAGGCAATTCACCGGCGGTCAGACTGGCAGCAAGGCGGCGGTCAGACCGGCGGGAGCAAGGCGGTTCGACCGGCGGCGTGCAAACGGTTCGACTGGCGGCGGCGACAGGACTACGTTGAGATTTTCATCGATTTGAGGGTAACTTTTATTTCCGCTAAAAGTTTTGGGTTTTTGGTTTTCCCTACCATTCACCCCCTTCTGGTAGGCTTGGTTTCTTGTGTTCGATTCTTCACTATTCCCACGTTTTCCACACATGTTTTCCAAAGTGCTAAATATGTGGTTTTGTTTTAAAAAAAATCTATAGAAATATTGTTTTAAAAAAAAATCATATTAATCTATTTTTATAAAAAAAAGCTAATACTTAATTAAAATATGTTAATGAGTCACTCTATTTTACGCACACGAGGGATTAGTTTCCAACTGTAAAGCCGAACACAGCAAAAGCTATCAACCTGAGAGGTTTATCAGTGTGCTCTGTAAATTTTTGCGCCAAGGTACAAAATTATTGTAAAAAGAAAACCTCTAAATAGTGCAAAGGAGATGGGACAGGGGGTAGTGGCGCAGGGCAGGGGGACTTATATTACGGAATGCACATTTCTTCCCGGTGCAAAACAGAACTTTGGAAATTTTGTAAACTTCTAACCAAAATAAGTTAAAATTTTGATTCGATTTGAATGAAATTTGCTAAATTCATTTTTTATCATGTAAAAGGAATATTTCGGTCAAAGCAATATCGTACCATGGGACGATATACCTAGATATAGATGGCCATGGCCCGAGGCCCGATGGCCCGCCCAAGGTCTGGTGATTTTGGCCCAGCCCAGGCACGGCACGGGTCGGGCCTGTGCCTGTCCAGCCCAACAGTCGTGACGTGCCTAGACTGCTACCTCGGCATGTTGGGCCAGTTCAGGGATACAAAACTAACTTATTCTCAACCATATGTAAGGCACGTCACAAAGAATAGAGAGCAAAAATAGACTTATTATATGGCACAATCCAAGAGTAGAGGCGTAAAATAGACTTATTTTTAACTATATATATGTCACAACACAAAGAGGAGGGAGAAGAAATATACTTATTTTAAAGAAGGCACGATAGGCCACCCGTACCTTCAGGCCGGCATGGCACGGCCCAAATATTGGTGGGTCGTGCTTGGGTCTGAGGTGCAGCCCGTGGATCGACACGGCAGGCCTGGTGTGTTGGTCGGGCCGTGCCGGCCCGATAGATTCTGGCCCGAGCACGGCCGTGCCTGGGCCGTGGCGCCCAGATGGCCATCTATGTATCCACTATCCAGAGTTTCCAAAATTCCGGGAATACCATTCCCAAATATTGAACCTCAAAATCGAGAATTTAAAATTAGGGATTAGTGTTCGAAAATACTTATAGGAGTAAGTAAGATGTGTGCTTGTAAGAACGAGAGTGCGCGCGTTTATGAGCAGCTAGGTTGTACCGTTTTTCGAAAAAGAAAAGAAGAAACACTACTTATCTCCGTCCCAGAATATAAGATTCTAGTATTAGATGGGACACATCACAGTACTACAAATCTAGATTTATAATACTAAGATATATCCTATCATATACTAGATTCTTATATTATGGGATGAAGGTAGTACCAAGAGCATACAGTGATGACTGAGGAGTTGTTAATGCCGGATAGCGATGGCTTACCCACACAATCATTCACATGTGAACAAGACAACCAAAGCAACAACTTTGCAAAAACCCAAAAAAGAATACGAAGAAAAGAAAATATTAATAATAATTAAAAAAAAAAGAGGATAAGCAAGAACCGTACAAGGCGAGCAGACTACACTACCCTTCCATGTTGCCGGCCGCCGGCCGGTGAGATCGAGCTCAGCCATGGCATCCGCCGCCGCTCCCGAGATCCAGGAGCTCATCCACCACCCCTACGACGGCCGCGTCACCTCCTTCGTCGTCCTCTCCTGCGTCACCGCCTGCCTCGGCGGCATCCTCTTCGGCTACGACATCGGCGTCTCCGGTAACCACCCACCCACCCACCACTCTCCCTCCCTCCCTCCCACTCATCATCGACGACGAGCTCGCCATGAACGACGCGATACAATTGGTGGTGCAGGCGGCGTCACGTCGATGGACGCCTTCTTGGAGCGCTTCTTCCCGGAGGTGTACCGCCGGATGCACGGCGGCGGCGAGCGCGTCAGCAACTACTGCCGCTTCGACAGCCAGCTGCTCACCGCCTTCACGTCGTCGCTCTACGTCTCCGGCCTCGCCACCACGTTCCTCGCCTCGCACGTCACCGCCAGGCGCGGCCGGCGCGCGTCCATGCTCGTGGCGGGGGCGGCCATCGCCGCCGGCGCCACGGTGGGCGCCTCCGCGGCGGGCCTCGCCACGGTGATCCTCGGGCGCGTCCTGCTCGGCGTCGGCGTCGGGTTCGGCAACCAGGCCGTGCCGCTCTACCTGTCGGAGATGGCGCCGCCGTCGCGGCGCGGCGCGTTCAGCAACGGGTTCCAGCTCTGCGTCAGCGTCGGGGCGTTCGTGGCGGAGCGTCCAGCAAGGCGAGGACCACGGCAAGGTGAGAGCTCTCCTGAGCAAGATACGAGGCAGCGACGGCGCCGGAGTCGACGACGAGCTTGACGATATCGTCGCCGCCGACAGGTGCAAGGTGACAACGAGGCGCGGGCTGACGCTGATGCTCACCCACCGCCGCTACCGGCCGCAGCTGGTCATGGCGGTGATGATCCCCTTCTTCCAGCAGATGACCGGGATCAACGCCATCGCGTTCTACGCGCCGGTGCTCCTCCGCACCGTCGGGATGGGCGAGAGCGTGGCGCTGCTCGCGGTGGTCATCAAGCAGGTGGTCGGCATCGGCGCCACGCTGGCATCCATGCTCGCCGTCGACCGGTTCGGCCGCCGCACGCTGTTCCTCGCCGGCGGCGCCCAGATGGTGATCTCCCAGCTACTCATCGGCGCCATCATGGCGGCGCAGCTCGGCGACGACGGCGAGCTGAGCCAGGCGAGCGCGCTGCTGCTGATCGTCCTCGTCGCCGTCTACGTCGCCGGCTTCGCGTGGTCGTGGGGGCCACTGGGATGGCTGGTGCCGAGCGAGATCTTCCCGCTGGAGGTGAGGTCGGCGGGGCAGAGCATCGCCGTGGCGGTGAACTTCCTGCTCACGACGGCGGTGGCGCAGTCGTTCTTGGCCATGCTTTGCCACATGAAGGCCGGCATCTTCTTCTTCTTCGCGGCGTGGCTGGTCGCCATGACCGCCTTCGTCTACCTCCTCTTGCCGGAGACCAAGGGGTTGCCCATCGAGCAGGTCGGGAAGCTGTGGGCGCGCCACTGGTTCTGGAGGAGGTTCGTCGTCCCCGACTCCGGCGACGGCGAGGAGGAAGGCGGAGCCATTGATGCCGATAAGCTCTGAACAATTAATCAGCTGTGCACATCACTGACTGACTATCTCATTGTCTGACTGATCCGGCATTCCGGACACGGTTGTTTCAGAACAGAACTGGCTATACCCAGCAACATGTACAGACTAGCAACACATTTTTTAGCTGGATTTAAGTATGTAACAATACATATTTGATTACACATACCAAGGCTTAAACAAGCATTTAGTAGTAACTTTTTTTTTATTTTAGAGCCCTGACAAGCATACTAGATTATGTAGGATCGAATCACAAGAACTAAGCCAACCAGAGGGGGGGTGAATGGTTGGTATACCTAAAAACCGAAAACTTTTAGCGGAAATAAAAGTTACCCTCGAAATCGATGGATCACGGTCTGACCGAAGTTGCCTTGCCGGTCTGACTGCTCGGATGCCGCCGGTCTGACCGGTAATTTTACCGGTCTGACCGCCGAAGTCGTCTGCCGCGCCTGCTGTCGCCGCCGGTCCAACCGCCTTGCTCCCGCCGGTCTGACCGCCGCCTTACCGCCGGTCGGACCGCCGATGAGTCGCCGGTTAAACCGCCGAAACCCGGTGAAACACAAATCGAAGAACTCTTAAAGTAGATGACGACTTTATTACTTCTCTCTGTGTTTACAAAGTGCACCAACAGCACTCCTTACAAAAATTTCGACTAAACTCGAAACCCTAACTCAAAACTCAACTCAATTGCTCTCTAAAGCGATACCGGGAAGCCTCACGCTCCCCCTCTATTTATACATGAGGTAGGCAGCTTAAAGCCACGAACCAAACTCATACTAGGAGTCCTAAACACCTTAGGAAACCCACTAGTACAAGAAAGAAACTTTACATAACCAAACGTACCAAATTTAGTCTCCTTCTAAATTCGACTCCGCATCTCATACACACACAATTCCTCCATCGTATGCCATATAGAATCTCCATCAACCACGTGCATCAACTCTTGCCTAAGTATCCCGCATGATCTCTGACCACCACGGACGTCGTCTTATCCCCAAGCCGACTCCCGGTCCATCACCGCAAATACTCTCCCGAGACATCGAGTCACCTACACATGGAAAAAACAAAGAAACCATATTCCGAGACCAAGCTATCTCCAACTTAACTCATTAGCAGCAAACAATAGTATTACATACGTATAGTATCCATCTAGAAGTCATAATCATGGAATAAACTCGGATATCCAAATAAACAAACCGAAACCGAAACCGACACAGTGTCGGCCGGTCAGACCGCGGGCTGCGCCGGTCTGACAGCGCATTACACGCCGGTCTGACCGGCTACTAGAGCCCGGTTTGACCGGTCCACATAAAATCACAGCAGTCCCTGTAAATTCACCTGTGAAAACCAATCATCTCCAAAACCATTTCGTGAATAAATTCCAAATAACAAAACCAATAATCTCCAATGCCCAATTGTTCATCACAGAATAATAATCAAAAACACCTTTGATTTTACAGATTATACATGTATAACATTTTACTAGGAGGAAATATACCTCAAAATTAAATAAACTGAAACTTAAGTGTATATATGGCAGCAGGTGGATGCTACCTCCCTTCGGAGAGGCCAGTGATGGTGCCATCGCTCACCACTGATTGGCAATATGCAACGGGTGAGCCCACCTGACGATTCTGCACCATGTCCATTGGCGCCAACTCAGGAAATGGCAAGTCATGGTTAAGATACTGCATGACATGCCACATGCTTGGCCTTGCAGCAGGTGATTGGTGTGAGCAAAGCAATCCTAGTTTCAAAGCTAGGAATGCTTCATCAGCATCATACTCATTTTGGAGCTTTGGATCCATTGCCTCAAGAAGTGATCTCTCGTTCCAACAATCAATCACCCAGTCTACTAATTTGAGCTGATCACTATTCATCTTGTGTTCAATGGGTCTTCGTCCACAAGTAACCTCAAGAACAAATATGCCAAAGGCGAACACGTCAGTTAGGGGTGAAGCCTTACCATTTTGTAACAACTCAGGGGCAAGATATCCTATAGTTCCAACCAGGCGTGTTGTTTGCATGTCAGTGCCATGGTCATATAATCTTGCAAGGCCAAAATCACCTAAGCATGCATTCATCTCTTCATCAAGAAGCACATTACTGGCTTTGATGTCTCTGTGGATGACAACTTGCTCCCACTCTCCATGAAGGTACCATAAACCAGATGCAACACCCTTGATTATTCGAAACCGTTGAATCCAGTCTAGAATAGGACGGTTACTATGACCATACAAATAATTATCAAGGCTACCATTTGGCATATAGTCGTAAACCAAAAGAAGTTCACCTTTACGCCGGCAATAGCCAAGTAGCTGCACAATATTCCGGTGTCGAAGGCGGCCGATGCTAACAACCTCAGCAACAAATTCCCTTATGCCTTGTCTCGACTCATGGGACACCCTCTTCACTGCAATTTGTGACTTAGACTTGGAAAGAAGACCCTTGTACACCCTTCCAAATCCTCCAGTGCCCAAGAGATGACTATTCTTAAACCCTTCGGTGGCTAAATATAGGTCCTTAAATGAGAACCTATGCGGTCCAAACTCAATTTCCCAATCTTCTCGCAACTCAGCATACCTCAGCCTTCTTCTCACAAAGAAGAAGATGGCCAAGATCACCAAAAAGACAAATGTGGGAGTTGCTAGAGGAGAAATTAGTGGCAGCAAGATGAGCTGAGTAGCTTTTCCATCTACACGAGCTTTAGGTAGATTTGGTAGATGAGCTGTGAAGAAAGGTGGGGCTAGTCCATTCATACTAAAGCTCCAGCCTAGGATATAGTGCCTCGATTCTATTTGACCTGTTGCAGCTGATAAACCAACGTATGCAACGTTTGTGAGCACGGCTGAGAGGTTATAGGACATTGACAGGAGTGTCTTGGTGGGTCTGGCCATTTTGAATGGAGCTAAAGCCACATCAATCCATGTTGCCTCTCCATCGTAGTTGATCCAAATTTGCATGGCCTCGCCACTAATCAGACTCAAGTTTCGGAAGGAACCAGTGATGTCATCGTAGTAGCCTGCAGAAGAAGATGTTGCCGAGTGAAGATCGCAGATGTCGATGCCGACATGGTTGCCATCTATGTCCATAAACTCGTTGTTTTGTGCAGTGTCGATCTCAACAGCAAAAACATGGTTGCTCAAGTTGCCGTTGTTACTGTAATTGAACAATCCTAGGTACTGTGCCGGTAACGCATCAGAAAAATTAGAGCTTGGGGCAAGAAAGAAGGCCATGCCCTCTGTGCTGGCATGCAACAAGGGAGAGACGACGATGCCAAACACTAAGGAGGCGGAGAAGGACTGCACCGCGGAGTTGGGCGGCTTACGGAGCCGGAAAGGAGTCGGGTGGAAGGCATGGCCTTTCTGATTGACCGTACCATTGGTCAGCTCGAGCAAGCCCTCTGGCGACACCATTGATTAGTGTAGATGAATTCTTGATTGATGTTTGCAGGTGTTGTTCGTGATATTTGACCTGACGGAGAAGCGATGCCTTTTTATGTTATGGATCTATTCCTTTTGACCAAGTTCAGCTCGTTGTGCCAGGGCATCACTTTGAGCTTGCTTTTGAAGATTTTGATTAATGCGATGATGGTTATTCTGAATTCACGTTGCTTTGCCATGATAATGTTCCGTTTTTCATGAAACAACTGTTTGGCAGTTGGTTGTTAGGCAAGATAAAGCCTAGGAGATTACTGTTAGCGAAGCCGTAGTACACAAATTGGCCGTCTCCTAGGGTTGTAGCCAAGGATGGCAGAATAAGTTTTTGTTCTTAAATCCTTTAGTGGCATCAAATAAGTCTTTGTAAGCGAAACGGTGCGGGCCATACTCAACCTCCCAATCTTCACGTACCTCCTTATACCTTAAATGTCTCCTCACGAGTAAAACAATAGCAACACCAATAGCTAGTACGAATATTGCTGATGCTATTGGTAGAACAATCTCTAAGAGTTTGGATTGAGGTTTTGGACTAAGATTAGGCAGTTTAGGTAGCTTTGTGGGGTCAATGATTGGAGCAGGAATATTCAGCCCAAAACTCCAACCAAGAACATAGTGATGTCCTGTGCTTAAGCCCGTTGAGGATGAGAAGCCAAGGTATGCTTGATCTGTTAGCACTGTTGAGAGGTTATAGACTACAAAGAGTAGTGGCCTCTTAGGTCTTCCAATACCAAGAGGAGCTAATGTCACGTCAATTTGTGCGGCATTCCCGTCATACTCTACCCAAACTTGCATTGGTTTATCTCCAATGAGGCTCACATTTGTGAGCGCGCCATTGTTGTCATTATAGAAGCCGGCATAAGAGGATCTTACTGAGTTGAGACTGTTGATATCAATCCCGACATGATTATTGTCGATGTCTCCGAACTCATCATTCCTAATGGTATCAAGCTCAATTGCAAAGAGGTGATTGGTCGAACTGCCATTGTTTATATCATTAAGAAGACCCAAAAATTGGATTGGAAAGGCAGTGGAGAAATCATTGCTTGGGGCAATGAAGAAAGCAAATCCATGGCCTCTTATATCACCAAATGAAGAGAGAATACCAAATACAAAGGAGACAGAGAAAGATTGCACCGTGCCATTGGGGGACTTGCGGAAGCGTAGCGGAGCTGGGTGAGATGCATGGCCTTTGATCCGGAATGAATCGTTTGTCAGCCCAAGAAGGCCGGTGGCTGTGATTTTTGCTGCACCATCTAGAGTCAGATTGCTACCGGTGAAGCCGGTGTAGATGAATTGGTCATGATCTCCACTAGCACTGATGGCTGAAAGGCTAATGCTTATGGTAAGGAAGAGGATGACTGGCGAAGTGTGCTTCATGCTACTAGTCATAGCAGTGGCAAATTGGTTGATTAAAAGATGGCTTGCATTGCAACCATTTATATATAGGGCACACTCACATCCTGCAAAGCTAGGTTATGACCTAGTCAGTTGGAGCATGTCCAGCTCACCATGGAAAATTCTAGGATTTAGGCCAAGACATGGTAGAAGCAGTCGGTAATTTACATCTCTTGGCTGCCATGAAGTCCAACAACATCGACATTAGGTGTTCGCCATTTTCTCGGAAAAGTTGCATCACTCCCATCTTGAAAATTGAAGATGTCACTTGCAAACTATGGTACCAGCATAGACTATATTATTGCAGGTGAAGAAGAAATAGACCGTAGTTACAAGTCAAGAGGTCCTTTTCTTTCACTCTCAAAATGTTAGTTTTGTATAATCTTTGTAAGAAGATGAAACATCCTTATTATTAGGACTTCCTATGATTATAATAGGATTTATATGATATTATTTGGAGGATGCGCTACTACAGAAACACAAAAAAAGGACGGCACTATAGGTGCCAGTTCATCTAAAACTAGAACATATAAGGCTTTTCCCTCCCTCACGTGGCTCTAAAATCCAACACTAGCACCTATAACATCTTGTAGGTGCCGATTTTTTAAATAAACGTGCACCTTTATATGGGATAAAAATGCCAGTTTTATTAAAAACTAGCACATCAGGATGGAGCTAACCGAGCCAAACACCCAGCCTACGGGTTTTTCCTCCTCGGCCTCAGCCTTACTCCCTTCGTCCCAAAAAAAAATCTAGGTAGAGATGTGAACCCTTGTCCAGATTCGTTGTCCTAGGTGGAGTCACATCCCTACCTAGGTTGTTTTTTTTTGGGACAAAGGGAGTATGTCCTCATCCTCCTCCCTCCCTCCCTCCCTCTCTCTCTCTCTCTCTCTCTCTCTCTCTCTATTCTTCGCTCTTTCCCCGAAGAGCCAAGCACCCCCCGCCCATCCGACAACGATAGAGCTACCTCCGATTCGGGGGCTGCGGGATCTGTGCCCCCCTCCTCCAACGGCGAGGGCGGTGCATCGATGGCGCCACCTCTGGCTCAAGGGGGGAGAGGGTGCCGGACTTGTGCTTCCCCCCTCCAAAAGCGGCAGCTGCCTCCTCCCCTCGGCCCGTCCAATGGCAGCGGCAGTCCGACTTGGGGACTGCCGATCTACGCACCCCCCCTATTCTCGGCGTAGACCATGACGAGTGGCGGCCCTGCCTACCCTTGAGCAATGATGGCAGCGGACTAACAGGTAGGTACCCCTTCTCCCCTTCCCCATCCACCCCTTCAAAAAATCCCTTCACTCTTCTGGGATGTGACAGTGGTGGTGAGCGGCAACGCCTCGGCCTCCGATGAACAGTGGCAGCTGTGGATTTGTGATGAATATTATGTTGTAATTTTATGGGATGATTCTTGTTGCTGGATATATGTGAGAATTTTCTTATCTAGTTTCCTTTACATGTTCTTGGCTCGAAGCATTGGTTCGATTTGAGCCGATGCGAGCCGCGTCACTTTTGATTCTCCACATCGGTGCTGTTTGAGAGGTGCCGGTTGGAAAAATCCGACACCTATGTGTGGTTCCTAACTGGCACCCATTGGGTATTCTGCAGTAGTGATATATTAATTTGACTTTGAGTTGTCATAGAACGAACTAAATGAATATATGCAGCATTCTAAATATGCTAACTATTTGCATGAAGGCCTAGATATAGCATTCATGAAAGCTCTATTTGTGACGAGATACAAAATTATTATAAAGAGAAAAAAAATAACTCTAAACAGTTGGAAGGAGAGGAGACCAGAGGGTGGAGGTGCAAGGAGAGCAACACACCAAGAGGCTGAGACAGTGATGCCTCACCCACACAATCATTCACATAACAACAAAACAACCAAAGCATGCACAACTCAGCAAAAAAAGAAAAGAAAAGAAAAGAAAGTGGATAAACAAGCACCGAACAAGGCAAAACAGACTACAGTATATCCTTCCATGATGACGGCCGGCCGGACCTGCTCAAGTACTATAGCACCTGGCATCTCTCCCGAAATCCAAAACCTCATGAGCACGATATATATGGAGCAACCCCTACGATACCATGCCCCTGGATTGATCACCTCTTTGCTCCTTCATCAGTTCATGGTGTTCTCCTGTGTGGTCAGCGTCCTCGCTTGCAGTGCGTGTTCGACTCTCCAAGACATATGCTCACCCTCCTTAATAATATTGATATCAGGCTAGGATTTGAATTAGGAATTCAAATTTTAACTTTGAATTCCAGGAACTAAGGGTAAATTCCAGAAAGAATGTCTTAAAGTTTTTGACGATATTCAGATTTTAGAAAATTCAGGAATTTTGATTTTTGGAGAAAAACAATTTTGGTAGGAAAAGAAATTTCAAAGGCAATTTTGAATTTGATTTGAAAATTTAAAAACTGAGTTTAGGGAAAAATTTTGGGATTTTAAACTAGATTTTGAATTAGAATTTCAAAGGAATTCTGTGAGCAACTTAGGAGGGATACACCGATTTTATAATTCGAAACTAGTGATTTTCATTTCGATGGTAATTTTTGGATCGAGATTGGGATGGTCATAGGGAGAGATTTAATTGAGATCTTTGGCACAAGCACTAAGACACACTAAATAACTGAATTTGTTGAATTAGGTTTTTATTAATCATACTATCAAATCATATACAGATTTATTTTCCATTATAAACCAAATTAATTCCCTCCATTTTGATAAATTCGAGGTACTATTTTATCAAAAGTACCATGAGTTACCTCCAACTGTTTATATGTGAAATAGTGCTACCTAGCATGCAAGAAACATGACTGTGAGACAAGAAACTAAGGTAAAAATTGTTATAGAAATTTAAGAAAGCAAAGTTAATTGTGGTTGTTTTACTCTGCATTTGGAGAATCCTATCTATCAAATTATGTGCAAGATTTCTTATGTGTGCTTGACAGAGGTTGCCAGTTGCCAATGCAATCAATACCTGCCTTGTATTTGCCTCGACGAGGACTCTAATATGTGGTTCTTATAATATGGCTAATGGCTGGTAGTAATCTAACCAATATCCCATATTATTTTCCTCGGAAAAGTATAATCTTTTAATTTTCACCAAAGGTTGTGCTTTATTGAGTGGTTGCCTGCAGTTACAACAATCAAGTATCAACTCTGATAGTTGTGAGAAATAAATAAGGAACACAATCTGAAAATGCTTGAATTCTAAAGCTCACACGCTCTCTGCACATTGTCGGACCGACAAAGGCTAACTCTGACGAAGCTGAAGTAAAAACAGAGAATCAAAGACAGTTTGTTCGGCGATCTCGCTGCAGCTTTTCCGGGATTCTCTTCTCCTTCTATTCATACCCAAAACTAGGGGAAATTACATGCAAACGTGGCCATCCCACGTTCGACTAAAATCAGTTCAGCCACAGTAACAGATTTAACATAATTTTGGTTGAACTGGCCAAGTAATATGCATGAAAGGAAACTTCAAGACAACTAAAACAGCACAAGAACAGAAATATGGAGTGAACAAGGATGTTGATTTCGTTTTTTGGTTAGCTAATATTTACTTTTCCTTCCCCGTTTCATAGAATAATAAATAATTTACAGTGAGCATCCACAAATTTGAAAAAAACCTTCTGGGTCCTGATTTTGTTAAGAAAGCAACATTACTACAAGGCTGGGAACACCAGCTTACAATAAAGCTACAATATGTTCATACAAGTAGACAATCACTACTGGGAATCCCATCCATTTGTATCATCTTCCACTCGTGAGGCTCGATGTCAGGTTGTTGCTGCAAACTGTAGATGGCACAGATTTGTACTGGTCGAAACCGTCGTTTTGCAAATATCCCAACATGCTATAACTCAAGTTTGTGGGCATCAACCGAGGAAGTGGCATCTCATTGTCGAGGTATTGCATGACTTGACGCATACCGGGCCTTCTGGTACAAATTGGATTTGCACACAACAGCCCTAGCTTTAAAACAAGATTGACCTCATCTGCATTGTGGTCTCCTTGTAATCTGACGTCCAGTGTGCTTGTCAGTGATCCTTTTTGCCAATGCTCAACAACCCAATCAACTAATATTGTCGGGCTATCATGCGTGTAATTGTTAATAGGTCTTCGCCCACATGTTACCTCAAGAACAAAAATGGCAAATGCATATACGTCTGTTAGAGGGGATGCCTTACCGGTGCGCGCCATCTCTGGTGCTATATATCCAAAGGTACCAGCCACATGTGTTGTTTGTGGGTCATTGCCATGCTCATATAGTCTTGCAAGGCCAAAGTCTCCTAGATGACCGTTCATTTCAGCATCAAGAAGCACATTGCTTGCTTTGATATCTCGGTGGATGACAACTTTCTCCCACTTCTCATGGAGATAGAATAATCCAGATGCAACACCTCTAATGATTTGAAATCTTTTGGCCCAATCTAGCGTGTACTTGCCCTCTTTACAGTGTAAATACTTGTCTAGGCTTCCATTTGGCATATAGTCATAGACCAATAAGAGTTCATCTTTTCTTCTGCAATAGCCAAGTAATTGAACAAGATTGCGGTGTCGGATGCGGCCGATACTAACAATTTCAGCGATAAACTCCTTTATTCCTTGCTTCGATTCATGAGACACCCTCTTGATAGCAACCTCCAATTTAGAGTCTGGAAGCACACCTTTATACACCTTCCCAAATCCTCCAACACCTAGAATTTTCTCATTGTTAAATCCTTCAGTTGCATCAAATAAATATTTGTACGAGAAGCGATATGGCCCAAATTCAACCTCCCAATCTTCATATAGTTCAGCATACCTCTTTCGCCTCCACACTAATGCTGTGACTGCTGCTCCCACAAGTAGGATGACTGTGGTGATGACTATCGGTAGGACTATCTTCAAAGTTTTAGACCGGACTTTTGGGCCAAATCGAGGTAACTTTGGTAACTTGATGATATCTATTGTCGGAGCAGGACTGTTCATTCCAAAGCTCCAGCCAAGAACATAATTCAATGCACCGACATTATTAGCACCGGAAGAGAAGCCAATATATGATACACCTTCATCTAAAATTGTTGAGATGTTGAGGATTGCTGACAGCGTTGGTCTCAAAGGTTTGGTTAGCTTGAGAGGAGCTATGGTCACATTCATCTGTGTGGCCTCTCCATCATAGTCCACCCATATTTGCACTGCCTTGCCGCCAACAAGGGGCAAGTCATTGAAAATGCCGTTCTTGTCATCATAGAAGCCAGCAGGATGGGTCTCTAGCGGTCTGCTGAAACTACTGTTGATAGAAATGCTGATGTCGTTCTCGTTGTTCTCCAGAAACCTTTTGTCTTGGCAACTTAAAAAATTAACTGCAAGATTGCTCTCCCTCTGATCATTCTTGAGGCCCTTGCTCGGAAATATCATGAAAGCCATGCTGTCGGGACATCTAATAGAAGGAGCCATGAAGAGCACAAAGTTGACTGAGAAGGACTGTAATGGTACCTTCAGAAATTGCCATGGAGTCGGGTAGAGGGCGTAGCTTGTTTCGTAGGTACTTGCGCCATTGGTAAGCTCAAGGATTCCGTTTGGTGTTACCATGGCTGTGCCATCAAGGATAAGGTTGCTGCCGGAGAAGCCGTTGTAGATGAACTGGTCCTGTCCAATACTGACCGTGGTGAAGGATGTTAGGAAGAGGAGGAAGCAGGCTAAATGCTCCATGGCAGGACGCTGCAACCGGTGATGGACCATGAAAGGTGGGCAACCGGGATACTGCAAATTAACCGGCGGTACAAGTCGACCCAATTTATTTGCAGCGATGAGGAAATAGTTATGCAGGCATGACTTCTGTGGCGCAATGCATAGTCAGTCTTCCATCTAGTCTTTTCCATGTTAGGGTGTGTTTAGTTTTCTGGGTGTAAAGTTTTTAAAGTATACCAGTACACATTTGAAGTATTAAACCTAGACTAATAATAAAAATAAATTACATATTCCGCTTGTAAACTGTGACACGAATTTATTAAGCCTAATTAATCCATCATTAGCAAATGTTTACTGTAGCATTACATTGTCAAATCATGGCGTAATTAGGCTCAAAAGATTCGTCTCGCAATTTACACGCAAACATTGTAATTATTTTTTCATCCATATTTAATGCTTCATACATATGTCCAAACATTTGATGTGACGTTTTTAACTAAAATTTTTTGGAACCTAAACAAAGCATTAGTCATTGTGGAAAAGTAGCTAGCGTGCTTCCAATATTAATCTCATGAGGTCAGAGAATCACAGCTAGCTTCCGTCTCTTAATTTAAACCTATGTCATACGTGGATGTAGTGGCGAATTGAAGCCACCATCTGGTGACCCCGATCGAGCAGTCGCCTGGTGGCTCGTCAGAAATAACATTAAAAACAAATTCGATGTTATTATAGGGACTGAATGTACAATTGCCTAGCTAGCAAATAATGTACAACCAGTTATATATAACCAGGAGGTAGCCCGCGCGCCCACCTATGCGGGCATCCGTATCCTTTTATATGATTATTAACTAGCACGGTGGCCCGCGTAGATTGCGCGGCTAGCACCATTATATTTGTTTTCTTATATAATAGCTTAAAATTTTTAATACTTTATTACTAAAATATATTAAAAATAGCAACACAATATTTATTTTTTATTATATTGATAGTTATTAATTATTTTCTACTTTCAAATTTTACTTATTTTTAATTATATTTCTATATGGACTCTAGGCTCTTCTCTTATTCTTGCTTATTTTTAATTTTAGTTATTTATAAAATTTTCTTTCTATATGAACTATAAATCCTACTTTTAATTTTTAAAATTATTTTAATTCTGACTTCCAGTCAGTTCTGTTCTTCTTCCAATATTCTTAATTTTAATTCCAAATTTCCGTTACTATAAATTGTATTCCTACAAGAACTCTATTTCCAATATTCCTTATTTTTTAAATTCCAAAATAAATTATATTCTTATGTCACATCCTGATTTTCGTTTCAGGATTTATAAATTATTTAATAAATTATTAATAGAATTTATATTAAATGTTCTTTAATTTACAAGTGAAGTTAAATGTGGGAATAAAATTTCCTAAATTTAAAGCATGGATGGATTTAATTTTTATTAAATTCTCCATGCTTAATTATACTCTCTGAAATTTTCTCGGATTTTTCAGAGCTCAATTCCTAAATGATACAAAGAACAGTTCAGTAATTATTTGATCAATAATTATCTAATTATAATTGTTAAGAGCTTTTCTTGTTTAAAAATCCTTAAATTATAAATTGTTGTTTAAAAGGAATTATTAGAAATGATTTTAAAAGCCTAAAAGAGAAGATCTAATTTTAATTTGTTAAATCTCAATATAAAATTGGGCTAGATAAAATTTCATTAAATACTTTGCTTAATTCTATAATTCCTAGATTTTTCTGGGATTTATTTGAGCTAAGGAAGTATTTTTAATAAATGGAATTGCATTTAAGAAATAATTTAAATTGAAAAAGGTTTTTAAAAGTCTTCTTTTGGCTTTGGGCCGAAAGTCGGCCCAAAACCTCTCTTCTCTCTCTCCTCGGCCCAGTCGGCCCAGTCAGCCCGCGCTCCTCTCTCTCGGTGTCGCTGACAGGCGGGACCCACCTGTCAGGGTCGTCGTCCTCCTCGCGCCGCCGCCGCCGCCCGAACCCTAGCGCAAGCCGCCGCCGTCTCCTTCCAAGTTCGGCCGCGTCTTTCCTTCTCCGGCCGAATCTTTTGAGGGGAAATGATCTTCTCGACCTCCTCTTCCTTTTCTCTTTTGGAATCTCCGGTCAATTCGGTTTGGAAACTCGAGGATTCGAAGTCGAATCGGATCCATCTCTCTCCTCCGAACCCCGTTCTTTCCTTCTCGCCGCCGGTCGCCGTGGGCCTCCGTCGCCGCTCGATAGCCCCTATAAAAGGACCCCCGAGCTCTCCTCTACCCGCCGCCTCTCTCGCCTTCGCCCGCCGTCGTGTTTAGCGCCGCCTCCGCATAGCCCTAGTCGCTGCCGTCGTTGCCGTCGGTTCTGCCGCGTCGCGCCGCCGTTGCAGCCGCCGTCGTCGGTCGCCGTCGCCACCATCGGGTTCGCGAGGTCATCGCCATCCTCGTCCGCCCCTTCGCCGCCGCTGAAGACCGCCGGAGCACCATCGCCGTCGTCGACCCGATCTCCGCCGCCGCTTCTTCCTCGTCGCCGGCGCTGTCCGTTGTTCCTCCGCCGCTTCTTTGGTCACCGGTGAGTTCGCCTCGTCGCCCGCATCATCTTGGTGCCCTCTGTTTGTGCCGTAGAGCCGCCGTTCGCCGGCGAGCGTGCGCCGCCCGAGCCTTCCAAGCCGCCGCCGCCGGTGGTGACGTCACCGCTGACGTCATCGTCGTCCTCTCCCGTGAGCCGGTCGTGGACCGTTCGATCTCGGCCGTCCGTTTTGGATAGGGTTGATCTCGGCCGTTCGTTCCCGTGAACCGCTGCCGTGCGCCCGGTCCACCGCGAAACCCTAGCCGCTGACGCAATAATCCTCCTTTTCCTTTTCAAAAATAATTCATTATTGCATCATAATTCAATTAAAATCCATATAAGTGTTTTAATCTGATTTAATCTTTAAAAATTCATAACTAATTCATTTGAACTCAGTTTAATGTGGTTCAAGTTGCAAAAATTATATAAAATAAAGATCTACATATTAAAATTGTCCATAAATTGAATTAAATTTATTTAATTCTTTTTAAATGGGCTTTAAATAGATTTAATCTTGTAAAATTCATAATAAATTCATTTGAAGTCAGATTGAGGCCGTTCAAGTCTCATAATTCATCTAAAATTAAGATCTACATGTTTGTTTACTTTTTATGCATTGTTTATTTGGTTTTTATTAGTCTTTTTCTTCGTTTTGCGTGTTAGCTTGTCATTTCCGTCGTTGTGAAGGTTCGTGAGTGCGCCGGAAGTATTCAAGAAGATTAATTGAAGACCGATTATTGCAAGGCAAGTCACACAGATCCTAAACACAATCCTTTGAGCATGTTGATCCTATATTTAAATTCTCTATTTATTTCAACTGTGCATTTATTTTCGAATGTCACTGGGTGGTGTGAACCTATTCCTTTGTTATGGCCTGTTTGCATTGACTACTTTATTCCTTGATACCTTGGGTGATTATAACTTGACTAGTTGAGCTATATATATTGGTTCAGCTAGATATTAGATATGATTGCTTAGCCATGCTTAGAAACATTAGCACACTATTGGGATAACTTATGACTCATTATTTAAGGATGGTTTAATGGTAGCTCACGATGGTCAATCGTGATTGGTTAATTAATTACTTGCCAACTAAAACTTGATAATGGTGGGTTGTGAGCACATGGTTTTGAGAGTCGTGCTCATGACAATTAAGGACCGGTTCGCGAGCTACTGTTGTGAAACATTAACCGTGCCAACCACAAGCTATCGTGGGCAACGGCTTTACCTTTTGTATAGCATGGTTCATTGCGGAGCACCAGACTGAGAAGTGGCGGAGATAAGCCCACGGGGGTCGCTGGGGAGTCCATGCCTCTGGTTTTTGAGGGGGTGATTATGATCCAGGAAAGGTGCGCTGCGGTGGGTTGTGTTATGCAAGGGGTAATGTCACAGCTCCTTTCCGAGGTACCGTGGTGGTACTGAGGCACATGGTGACATGATGTGGGACTGTGTCTTGTGGGTACAGTGGTACACCTCTGGCCAGAGTAAAACTATTCGAATAGTCGTGCCCGCGGTTATGGGCGAGTTGAGCAATGTTTTTCGTGATTAGTCTCACACCTCTCACAATAATTATAGATGTTATACCCGTGCCCGCGGTTATGGGCGAGTTGAGCAATGTTTTTCGTGATTAGTTTCACACCTCTCACAATAATTATAGATGTTATACCTGGTAATAATTTGCTTAGCTCCTGGTTTGGAGTTAGATCTGTTCAGCCGGGTATGGTTGTTCAGAATGGTTGGGCCTGTGCAGCATGGGTGTGCTGTTCAGTGTTGATTAAAATTTCTGATTAATTACTCCACTGTTTTACTTCTCTTAAATGTTTTGCTAAATGCTGCTTTTGCAAATGAGCCTATATTATGCCATCCTTTGGTATCCTTGTGCACTTGCATATTTGCTGTGTGGCTTGCTGAGTATGTCATATGCTCACCTTGCAATAATCAATCAACCTCAGTTGAAGAAAAAGGATCCAGAAGGAGAAGACGTTTGGCTTATACCCCAGTTGAGCTGCCTGTGGGAGTGGAGCCGGAGCTTCGCTAGATTTTATTTTCCGCTGCAGTTTTCTTCTTGGTGAGGACTAAGTGCCTCATAAGTAAGTATTTATCGTTTTAGTTAATTTGATGAATCTGTATATTAAATTGTCAGTTTGTGTACCTCGGCTGATTCCTGGACGAGGATTTTATGCACAAATAAGTTCGGAAATTACTAGTGAATTTCCGGGCGTGACATCTTATATGCACTTTAGACTCTTCTCCCAATATTGCTTATTTTTTATTTTTAAATTTTAATTTTAGTTTTCTCTAAATTGTATTTCTATGTGGACTCTAAACTCTATTTTTATTTTATTTTCTTGATTTTGACTTTCAATTTACTCTAAATTCCTATATGGACTCTAGACTCTTTTTTCAATATTCTTATTTTTTAATTCTGAATTTCTGTTGTTTCTAATTGTATTTCTATATAGACTCTAAACTCATCTTTTAATATTCTTTATTTTTTAGCCCACGCAAATTGCACGGCTAATATCATTATATTTTCTCTCATATAATAGCATATATGTTTTCTC